TGTTAAATATTAAACGTAAGAGAGAGAGTTAGGATGTATGTTGGTGTAAAAACGAGGAAAGATTATGGATATTATGCTGTTTAATGGGTAATTTTTTAACCGGATGCCTATAGATTTCATAATTATACAGCCTACATCTTTAAAAGGCAGGCTGCATTATTTATTTTCTTAATCTATACTTCTGCATTTTACTTTTGAACCAACTACCATTTGGCATTAGCCAAATACATTTGTATTTGGCCTAAATCTCAAATAATAACACACCTAATGTTACGGGTATTTAAAAAAAATACTAGTTGTGTTCTATTACCACTTTCTATAGGATATAAGTACTAGAACAATCTTCCAACCTACATTGAAGTTTGAAGTGTCCTACCTCATAAGTTATATAGATATTTAATAAATACTATTGTTTCACTTCCACTTTTCATAAACTCAGACATAAATGGTCTGAGTTTATGAAAAGTGGAAGTGACACCCCTTTAAAGCAAACTCGTAAACATGTGTTAGACACAAAGCACGGATCAAATTAATCAATCTGTTTCAATAACACAGCATATTCAAGTCAGAGACAGGTAACCACAATTCACGAACGTTTAACCGTCAGCTATTCCGCTAGCCTCGGTCACGGTCGTTGTCAGTCTTGACAGTAGTGATGGAGATATCCATAAATCTAATCCAGCCAATGACGCCACGTTGGTAAAATCATCAAGAATGAAAAGAGCTTTCTAATTTTTAATTGATTTTTTTTTTGGGAAATGAATTTAAAATATTCCTTTGCCAAACGTATAATGTATTCTTTCTTAAATGGAACGAGTAATAAAATTTAAAACTTTATTAAATTGATGCCATGAATACCTACGTTTATTTTAACATTTTGCAATGTCCTCATTAATATTTTTGTGTTTAAAATAATGATATTATTGTTTTCAATTCAGGTCATAAACCTTTTTTTTTTCATTTTTTTTTTTCATTTTATTGGTTCTTTTATTAAAATTAAATACTTAAAGATATTTATTCCTTTTAAAAACTTATTACTGGTAGGTAAAGTATCTATCGCTAAAATGTACCTACGTAATAAATCATTCTTGAATCGCTTTCATGTCGGTCAGAACTTTTAAATAGAATCCAACTCTCCAGTCAAAGTTCGCCCAGTTTAAGGTGAAATTGGCTTCAAGAGATTTTCTATAATTAAAACTTCTTCAAATTTTTTCATCGTCTCTCACTTTCATTGTGCTAGAGATCTTTATTCTTTTGTGTCCTTAAACGAAAAACTTTGTCGATTTTGAGCTAAATCGGTTTATTAGATGCGTGAGAATAATACTAAAACAATGTAAAAAGATGAGGAAATAAAAACAGAAATAAAAAGATACATATAACATATAAGAATTTAAGATTTACATATCTAACGAGTTGCTGCAAGCGGTAGCGTTATCGGCGTTAGACTTGTGAAACAAGTTCGTCAAGTGTATGTTGGTTTGAATCACTCATACACACAACACACGTAAATCAACTTCTAACAAAAGCATTTTATCTTATCTGGTGGGGTTGACAAGATTACTAATGTATGTAGATTATCATTATCCACTGTTTGACATGTACCTCTTCTTAGAAAGGAGGTTTTGGCCTACTATACCACTTTGGCCTGACGGGTTGGTATAGGGTTTGTGTGAGGTTTTCCTTCTCTTTGCCCTGCTGTTGTCCTGCAGAATTTGCTCCCTTAATATGATCTTATGACACCCAAGGGATAAATAGAAGCAGTGACACATTCTAATCCGTCACCACGTATTTATGGTATTCTTGTAACTAGTATTTTTCTTTTACAAGATATTAAAATTCGATTATATTCAGTTAAATTATGATAAATAATCAAGCTTAGTTTGAGATTTAAAAAAAATGTGAATACAATTTAATTTGATTATCATTTTTATACAAAAACTCGTCGATGTCAAGTTAGCAAAAACATAAAACAGTGAGTAAGTAAATTGATCAATAGGTTTTCTTGTTAAAAGAGCATCGAATAAGGTTTAAAAACACTGACTATCAACTGAATACTTGTGCCGGATTCCTGGCGAGTTACCGGCAAGGCCCTCTTTCAACATTCCAACATTTTTGTAACCAACAATCTCTCGTGCTATCGCTTGTTTTTCGCTTTGTTCGTGATGTTTGGCTTATTCGCCAATGCGAAGTTATTTCATTACTTCGTTATTCATCGTTCAAATTGTTTTTGTAAACAGAAAACAACTCTTGAATCGAAGTTTTTTATTATTTGTTTCTTTCTGTTTCTGTTCTTAGTTGCTGGGAAATTTTATTATCAGTAATTTTTTATTGTTCTTTTAAAATTAAATGCTGTGTTTCAAAGGTAAAATATTTTTGTAGTTTTATTCTTAATATAAGATATGAAAAAATGAGACATACATACATACCTATAGCATACAGAGTGTAGTTATGTGTATATCTGTTCATCTATATTTTTGTGTATCTATGTGTGTGGTATTGTTTTTTCCTCTTTCTAAGATTCTTTAATCGAAGGTATTCTTAGCTATAATTCAAGAAAAGTCCGTTCAGTCATTCGAAGATCCTCAGCTCTTTTCTAGTCGTTGCAAGAAAAAAAAATTACTCAAACAATAGAGCAACCCCAGAAATATCAACATCCGCTGATTCAAAACATTTACAAAAAGGATACTTGCACCGTCATAACAATATGAAGGGGACAGAAATAACTGAGTTCCCCAGTACAAAAGTGGCCACCACCCCAAACAATCAGATGAAAAATGCCAAGCCTCGAGGAAATTGCGGGTACACTCAATTGAACTCTTGACAATTCTGCTCACCACGCGGGCGCGTGAAAACCCCCTTAAATTTAAATATTAAACAGTATTTTTGTAAAAGAATTAAAACCCCTTGCAGATTCGGTACACTCCCGCAACCCGATATCTAAAGCTCTCAGTAAATGTATATGTAATATGATCATTAGAGCCATCTAGTTTCCGGAATGTAAAGCTTTTATAGACCGAAACTAGTCTGTTTTTTATGAATACTAAATATGGAGATTTTCTTACTATGTAGATATATTATTTAAATATCATTAATTCATTCTAAATTATTTCTTTAGAATTATAGTAAACGTATACTATAATTCTAAAGAAATAATTTAGAATGAATAGCAACTCATTAAATCGCTGCAGTAACGCTTAAAACATCGCATTTTGAGTACCCTTAAATAATAAAATAAAGACAACCTTTATAGCATTGAAAGACTTACACGCCCGCCATTTGTGTAAATTTAATTTGGTTTTAATGAATCATAAACTTAAGGTATTTTGGTTGAATCTCGTAAAGTAAACATCGACCCTTAACCAAACAATGAATTTGGTAGTAACAAATTTAGTCCTATCACAATATAGTGAAAGACAATGTGTGCTTTATTACTTTTTAACAGAATTCACTAAGGAGAAGGTCCTCCAATCGAATGAATTTTGTTTTTTTCTTTCTGTACTCTGTTAAGCAATATCACCGAACCGATGTTGTTTCTTATTTTTAATTTAAATTGTTTGTACTTAAGGTTAATAGGATTGCAGTCGAAAGCGAACATGCCATCTCTAAGAGTAAATAAAATTAATGGATGAAATGAATTAGTGACAAGGAAATTGGTAATATAAAAATATATTACAACCGAATCAGTTTAATATACATTTAAATGATGTGAGTTCGTCGAATCCAATAATATTAATAAATATCACTTGTTGTAAATGAGAAAAAAGCAATCTCATGACAGTAAAGAAAAAATGTTCATAGCAAAAAAGGAAATTTTGATTACAATTACTATTAGTTATTTTCGCCTATAAGGAAAAGCGAAGGCCCACTTCATCGTTCTTTTTACTCAACTAGGACTTAACATATATACAAAATATAAAAGTGTAATTTGTGTAATGGTTGGTGCGATTCCATTAAACATTCAATTACGTCAGACAGCCTTTGAAACCCACAGAAAGTGAATCAAATCCGCTGATACGTTAAACAATTAGGGACTGAATTTCACTATTCTACTATTTTATATTCTATACTGTAGAATAGTGAAATTCATTCTCTAATTGTTGTCCATGCTCATGCGATGATGACGATTCAGAAATTTTAATCACGAGGGAAACAAAAGCCGAAGTAAAAAACTTCTAACCCTAATCTTCTGAAAGGTGAACTTTATTAGTCCAGCAACCAAATCAAAATCAGAAGTATTTATCTTCTTCTCTGTTTGATTCTAAGTTCCTTTGAAATCGCCACATTTACGCTAATGGACTTTATTTTCGTGGCCCTCAGTCGACTACACATATGCAAAGACGCTCGCGAATTACGGCTACATAGACAAATTTAAATTGAGTTTTGCAACAGTAATTCGGCCTTGCAAAAGCTACGGTGCCCGCCAAAATAATAATTGAGTTCAGTACAATATACTGAACCATTCATTCTGCGCCAACGGTTTAGTAATGAAATTTTGATGGTAGGTAAATGTATTTTAAGTGGTTTCTTAGGTATTTAGTATTTACGAAATTTAACGATGTCTTAGCCAAAAGCCCAGGGAGTAATTATTTGATTAAGTATTGGAATCTTTGGGTTTCTGGCGAATACTCAACAGGTTAAAAACAGAATAATAGAAATACAGATCAACCGTCGTGTTTCGCAGGACATTAATAATTATAGTTTAGTAAAATTAAAAACATACTTTATCGAACCGAATTAAAAAGAAATTTCTACATCTACCTCCAGGGTTCATCAGCCAAGCTCCAAGATGCCAAACTATTTAAATCATTGAAACTAGAAATAAATTTGGATTGCTTTGATTTCTCTGGGTGGGATAAGTAGGATTTGACTTAATTTAAAAAATAATAGCTGTAAGCCAAGCAAATATTAGTATCTGGTTAAACAGGTGGTTTCTGCCTACGGAATTTATGGTCTCATTCAGCAATGTCCACTGAACTTTTTAAAATCAATTAACCGTTCAAATGGTAGGTACTTAATGTGAAAATTTGAATTTACTGAGTACACCGGTATACCTACTAAAATGACTGCTGTTTTGTCATTTAAGTTCTTAAATATCGAGATACGAATATACTTTATGGGTTACGAAATTTATTATATTCCAATATACTAAACAATACAGAAAAGTTGGCAAGTAATACATATACACATATCAGGCAGGGAACAATTCCTCATCAGAATATCAGAAGCCATCAGAGGCCATCAGAAGCCCTCAGCCAGATGAAAAAAAATATATTATCTTGTTAACACATTGAAATAATATTAATATGAATTATGAATTACAAAATGGATGAATATCAAAGACACTCAGAATTATTTATCAGAATGAATTGAATTAAATGCTTTTGTATTTTCAACAAATTATAAAGCAACTTAATGATTTCTAAATTGAACAACAAATTCAATTGCAATTGAACCTAAACATATTTACGATATTATCCATTATTCTTAAATAAAAACAAACATGTTGTTTTTTATTTAGGAAATTTGGGGTTCACGAACGAAGTGACTCCTTAGAGGTCTCAAAGTTCTACCCATATCGCTAAACGAGCTCCCTTCGGGAAATCAGACCAAACTTCACTGAGTTATTTTATAACATTCCCAAAAAAGTAATAGGACCATGCAAGGAGAACATTTTATTAAGCCTGTGTTACACCTATCATTTTACAAGTGACAGTATCAATTAAGTTTTAAATACGCCATTTTAAAGTCAATTTAATTCTGATGTAAGTTTAATCTTCAAGAGTAATTTAATATAAGTTAATCGAACGACAAATACTAAATTTAATTCAAAATGAGGCAAACATTACGATTTTTAAAAAGCCTACCAATGTAGTTTTAAAAGCAAACTTTAGTAAAGCCTGAGAAAGCCATATTTGCTCGATTGGACACTAAGTGAGAGGTGGCCAAGTCAATTTTCACCCACAGGCCCAGATATTCAATGGTCCCCGCCCCGCGGCCAGAAACTAATAAGCTACCGCAATTTCCGACGCCCAGCAACGGGTCTTAGTCAACAACACCGTTTTATACGTTTTCAACGAAAATAAGTCTTTAGACCTGTCTTTGACTTTGATAAAAACTTCGTAAAATGCTTTCTTCAGTTTTTTAATTCAGAATTGGATGAAATAATAAATAGGCCATGCCGTGTTACAAAGTATTATACGTATAAATATTTAGGTCTGTTTTTGAATTCTGATCTGGTCATATCATTTATTATGATCCTAGATCATCATGATTACAAGAAGAATAATTAAAACGTTACGTCAAGTTTTGAGGATTCAATTCCATTGAGAGAAGGATTTATCCACAAATAGTTTTCCCGAGGATGAGTCTTCTTCGTTCCCTAAATGTTTATAAAGTCCTCCTCGATGCAAGAATAATTTCTATTGTGGAAGTCGTCTTTCGAGTAAAGATAAAGTATAATTGTTAATAAGCTCAAGTGAATAATCGTTATATTTGTACCGTTTTATTGTTATAGGAATGGAATGACTACAAGCTTAAGTGGAATCCCGATGACTACGGCGGTGTGGAGACTTTGCATGTGCCTTCAGAACACATATGGCTACCAGACATCGTATTGTATAATAAGTGAGTATTATTAATAATCTACAATTAAAAATCATACTAAAGCGGCTTCAAAGATTTCATCATTGTGATCAGGTTCATGACCTGCCCTTTTTGAAATTTCATTAATTCCTGACACAAAACATTTCTGGGAATTAAATAGTGTTTGAATGAGTCAAAGGAAGAAGGTAAATTTTGATAAAGAAAACGGATAAGTCGACAGAGCTAGGGTATGAGATACTGCCTACTACTAAAAGCCATTAAACCAGGGACTTAAACTGGCTTAAAACCTATATTCTATGATTTGTTTAGATTACATGTGTTGTGCTTCTAATTCATCATATAAAAATATAAACCAAAAGTCTTTTTAAGCTTTACCAAAGTGTACCAAGTCGACTGCTATTTGGTTGCAATTCAATAGCATTCTCATATTAATTGTCATTATTAGAAAAGAACATTAGATCCATAAAATAAATCAAATAATATCAAGTGAAAATTGATATTTTTCTAACGTATCATTACAAAGTGAATAAGTTCTTATAAACGGTCACGATAAACATTAATCTCACTCCAAGTGCTATTTACGGGAGAATCAATTTAAGAAACTTTGAGGAAACCTGTGTCTCCAAGTTTGATACTAGCCCCATTCTTTCCAATGAAAGTTAACTTTATTTTCTGTTGTTACAAACTCTTCTTAGAAGACTCTTATCTCTTTATTTCCGGGGTGAAAACAAAGTTCCCATTATTTTGCGTTATCAAGACATCTTGACGAGACTGCGGGGTAAAATTAGATGTTGAGACCAAAAGTATGTGACTAATCTTAACTTGTGTCCCTGAAATTTATATATTTCTCTATTAGCGTCTTTATTTGGTTTGGTAATAAATTTTTGCACACGTTTACTAGCCTTGAGACAATAGGCAATTGTAAATCCTAAATTAACAAATTGCTGAACATATAAATCAATAATCGTATTTTTGGCAAATACTCAAGACCTAAATCGATCTCAACACCTCGGAACGTATAAGATGACCGTTTTAAAAATCCTTACAAAGCAACGTTACCCATTATCAGTAGCAGTTCACCGCATTTATATGCATTAACGCCACGTAAGCTTTGAACTTTGCTGATAGAGCTTAAGAACTTTGAAATAAAGCCGAAATTTGAATGGATAGTTTGTATCTAGGTAAAACAGAGAGCGCGCTCCAAGTTGGCCAGGCGGAAGGCACGATAAGCGTGAGCTTTAATCTAAATAGCATCAAGGTAGCGTCGAACCGAACAGGCCATAGTAAGCATTCATTATTAACCAGAGTTTAGACTTCAAAGTGTCTTTGATGCAGTTTATTTTAAATTACCTTACAAGGATGGTAATTTTATATCAAGTTCAAAAGCAAAATTGTTTTAAAGCATAACGAAAGAGATTTAACTTTGCTCATTTTTTAACGGTACTAAAAAGTACGTAATTGAAAATGTTCCAATTTCAAAGACTTTCACTGTTCCATGCAAATGATAACTAGTATGAAACTGAGTTGTATGAAGTTGAGTTTGAGTTTCTTTATTCATCTTTAATGACCTATAGCTTATATTTTATTTCATATTTATTGGCTTCCTTTCAACTCAAAATTAATCAGATGTAGGTACCATCAGTAATAAAAGAATTAGAAGGAAAATTTCACAAAACTTTAAAGAGTTCTATACAGTTGACAGCTTTATAAATAAATACCTACATTCCATTAAAGTTCGACAGTTTTAACTTAGGAATTTATAAAATTTAAAAAAAAAATCTGTAATATAAAGGTATTTTATTTCACAATTCACCATTTGCTAAATTCTATCTATAAACCTGTTCGTCTCACGTCTCTCACTGTCTTTTTAATATTCTAGCATAATAAGAGGCGACAGTCTGATCTGAAAATTGACTGTTGCGATTGATTGTTACCTTCCATATATTCAACAGCATTTGCAATTTCCGCTAAACTTATATAATTAGAGCTTTTCATAACTTTTAGAAAACAAAAATTTCAAATAATAGTATTAAGGTATTTTTTTTTATTTGTTATAATTCCTTAACATATTTGTGATCACTGTTCTCTGTTTAGTCTTTTCATCGTTTATAGCTTTACATAATTGTAGTTGATATTATTTTTTATTCTAATCAACAAATTCCCACCTGTAATAAGTTGCATATTTTAAACGTTTTTACAATTTGGTAGCCATGTCAAGCCAAGAACGGAAAGAGGACCTATCATCATATTTACAGAGGTTAAAGATGTATCGAATGCAGTTATTAAGAAGACGGTCTAACTTATCGAGAAGATCTGCATACAGATCGTACACGTCACCATAGTCGATTATTGGGAAAATAAGAGTTTGAACAAGCGTGGTTTTGGTTTAAGGGGGCCGAAAAAATTTCAGGCGATATAGTCCTCGAAGAGTGCCGGTAGCCCTTCCTTTACACAAACGCCAACAACAAATTAAGAATAACGTAAACCATTATTCTATGTTATTACTTGATTAGTTATAATATTGTAAACAAGATATTTACTACGTTTATTTTTGGGCAAATAAACATGCGTGTCCTTTTTCTGCTTTACCTAGATATAAACTATTCATTCAAATTTCAGCTTTATTTTAAAGTTCTTAAGCTCCATCAGCAAAGTTCAGAGCTTCAGTGCATAATTTCGGGCAAATAATTATAGTATATATCCGTTTAAAAATAACTTATCAAGTGAAAATGACCATGGCCGTTTAAATCAACACATCAAGTTACTTGAATTCTTTGATTTCAATATATTAATATCTTAACTAACTTTGATTACTTAATTGCTTACAAATTATAATACATGACTTTTAAACATAACAATAAATGTTTTCAACAAGATTTCCAAAATCTGCCAAAGTCTTGTTTCCGAAAGTATGATAATAAGCATTCAAATTAAGTAAATCTGGCGTAATTCGCGCCTGACACAAGTTAGCAATTGGGTTAATTTTGGATTATCTAAGTTTGATAACGGGGACTTTTATACTACTGTACAAAGTTAATTCAACTTTATTGTTTATTGAAGTTACTTTTGATCATACCTTTGAACTATATTTGGAGATAAGAATTAGACTCACTGTTTCTACTGTAATGTTTGTGTAATGCAAGGATCCTCTGACTTTAAGTAAAAGTAAACTGCCTTTAAGTAAAATTCTCATCATAATCATCAGCCTATTGCAGTCCACTGCTGGCACATAGGCCTCTCCTATTGCACGCCACTTGGATCAATTTTCGGCTTCTCCCATCCAGCTCCTGCCAGCCATCTTACGTAAATTGTCACTCCACCTGGTCTGTGGGCGTCCTACACTGCATTTGTCGAGACGCGGTCTCCACTTAAGAACTTGTTTACCTTAACGGTTGACGGTTCTGCGGCTAATATGGTCAGCATACTGCCACTTCAGCTTGCTGGTGGGCTATATCGATGACCTTGGTTTTCTGTCGGGTCACCTCATTGCTGATTATCACTTAAAGAAACGCCGAGAATAGCCCTTTCCATAGCAAGCTGAACGACTTTAATGTTGTGGAACAGCCGTACCATAGGTGTCCAAATTCTCATAGTTTTATGTAACTCTACGTTTTTTGAGGATAAACAGTCTAAAAGGCAAGAAGGCAAATCGAAACTTTGACTTCACGTTACTTTATTAATAAACATACATGAACATCAAACGTCGTACTAAAAATTATATGAACATGTCTGGGATGCTATCTCAGAATCTCAGACATAGTCATATTATTATTTTTTTATGTTCAATTTGAAAATAATTCATACCTAAAGATAGATAGGTAGATAAAATACATAATTGTAGGTTTTGGAAATAACTGAAAGAAAGGCAAACCACAAAGCAAGCACCCGTTGTACCTTAAAAAGTTAATTGTTATACTTCCTGCTGTTTGATAATCAAATCCTGAAAATTTCTTGTTATACCTTCAAATTATAAGTATAATTGAAAGCCATTTTAAAAGTGTACCTTACCTCTATCATAATGTACTGTTTAGAAACCCATTCATATATTCAACGTGTCAGAAGCTCTTGGTGATGTGACTGTAATATTTTTAAATTTAACCAAATAGAGATAATGCTTTAATGCACCTGTGACTTTCCCCTAAAAGCCCACTCCGCGAAAATTCAGTGCTAACTTTATTTTTAATGGTACAGCGTTAGCTTAATGGAAGACAAGGTGACCTATTTTACGGCACAATTTTCATGAATGCGCAAAAGTTGGTTATGACAAAGCTTTTAGAGGTTTCAACGTCAATTTCGTACCGACAACAAATGGGAATCAAAAGAAAGGCCGACAAATTTATATGGAGGGTTTCATAAAATTTAACATATTAATTAGAAATATAAACAGTTGTGTTGCGGAAAAAATCTCTGTTTAAACTCGACTCGACTACGAGTTCTTTTCTTAAAAGTCTGAGTAAATCTTAGATCGGCATCAAGAAGGCACTTTATAAGACTTATAATAAGCCATATTAACACAAATCCACTTGACAAATCTAAACTACATTATTGTCAATATGCCCATCATTATAAATTAACTAGCTAATTAATCGTGCAACTGTAAATCAGGCGCTTAAGTTGACAAGTTACCAGACATCTATTAGCCTGCAGGCTATTGATATAGTTCGAGCACTGATAGACATTAATATTTCATGCTATTGAGAATATAAATCATAAAATCAATGGCATAGGCATAGTAGGTATACACTCTCATGAAAAAATAAACGTAGACCACTCAAATAACGGGGCCATCGCTTTAGATGATCTTTTAGGTCGGCGTCAGAAGCTAGTCTGATAAACCAGGCTGAAAATTTAAACGATACGGTCTAAAATGCACTGTGACCGATGATACCACCAAAGTTATTTTCGTTTCATATAAAACTTACCTCTCACCTTCCATCCCGACTAGGAGATTAACCGATGAGAATTATCCACACCAATTATTATTGATCAATGTCATTCCACCCGCCTTAAACACTTTTATTGCTATTGTTTTTTCTGTGAGATCATGTCTATTTTACATTTGAAACTGATCAAATTTTAAAGGTAATATTAAAAAAATATAGAGGTAATACTAAAATATAATTTTTGATGGTCTTAATAATACCAAACCTTCACCAAATTGCTACCCAGATTGCCCTATACATATATTATATTATATATATACATATATAAGTTCCCCTATACATATATAATTTATATAGTTGTTCCTGTTTAATTCTTACATACATGATTCAAAAACAAAAACAGCCACCCACAGTAAGCACTGAAGGAAACGTATAAAAAACTGAACTCTAGAAAATATGCAGTTCTATTCATATGTACAAATAGAGAGAGCACTGCACTTACTGGTGTTGATACCGGATTTAAAATTGATAATATTTACAGTATTAATAATATTCAATCCAGTATCAATGTTAACTACAATAAAAATATTCTTTGATACATTTTCATAATATTTTAAATTTCGTTTTTTTTTAACATGCTTATTTATTCTACAGCGCTGACGGTAACTACGAAGTGACAATCATGACAAAAGCAATCCTTCACCACGACGGGAAAGTGGTTTGGAAACCGCCAGCTATCTACAAGTCGTTCTGCGAAATCGACGTAGAATACTTCCCGTTTGATGAACAAACGTGCTTTATGAAGTTCGGGTCTTGGAGTTACGATGGTTATATGGTATGTAAAACTATCTTACGAAAGCTAAAAATTACAATACAATTTATTACCGATACATTTTACATACGCTTGAATTGTGGAATGACCACTCTCGGATGGCTAATCCTACGACGATGTTCTTTACCCACGTCGGTGCTCGAGATAAGTAGCCTGTATTTGGACTAGACGTGTGTGTAGCCAGACCAGGTATGCCATCGTCGTTAACTAATCAAGTGAGGTCAAAATTTGTTACTGTAAAACAATTTCCAAAATTCCAAGCATTTATTTGAGCAAGAAAAAATCCTTAAATTCTGTCGCCGTAAATGTAACACGATGTGCCTTAATTTATGTAGGATTAACAGTAAAGGACAATAACTCCCTTACACAAAACATTGCCTCGTAAAAATAATATGATCTTCAATTGTCTAACAAAAATAGAGATTCATAAGTGTATTCAAAACTTTGCAACTATAGGCTCAAACTAGACTCATTCATCTGTCGCGGTAAGGAACCTAATAAATCTGCGGTTACCGACTTTACTATGAATAAAGTTGGAGCATAAATATACGCCTTAAATCGCCTGTGTTAAGGTTCACGGAGGAATCCGGATAAAATCGGTCTTTTTACACCTGTAAGGCAATGTGAGATAGCAATAACATCAATTTGTAAAGATTCGCTCGAATGGTTTGATTCTGTAATAACGAATGACTCTACTTGGGCTATTTTGTTACCCTTACCCTTTCAAACTGTGATTCATCTATATACATCAGTTTGAATATCTCTTTTTAACGTCAATTTTTTATTCAATTTGTAACGGTAATTGTTTTGTTTTATATTTTAAATATGGAATAACTCAAAATATTTTTGATTTTTACATGAATTCTTTTAATTATTACTATTTATTAATGTGCTCAGTAAAAATATACATGTTTTTTATTTATTTAGTAATTTATAGCAATGTACTAATTTCCTTTTGTTCCTAGGTGGACCTTCGCCATTTGAAACAGACGCCAGACTCCGATCGCATAGGAATGGGCATAGATTTATCCGAGTACTACATCTCAGTAGAATGGGATATAATGCGGGTCCCTGCCACGAGAAATGAAAAATTTTACTCCTGCTGTGAAGAACCGTACCCTGATATCATATTCAATATCACCCTTCGGAGGAAAACCCTGTTCTACACGGTCAACCTAATCATTCCTTGCGTCGGGATCTCGTTCCTTTCAGTTCTCGTGTTCTATTTACCTTCAGACTCTGGAGAAAAAATCTCACTCTGTATTTCTATCCTTCTGTCGTTGACCGTGTTTTTCTTACTGTTGGCAGAAATTATTCCACCGACATCACTAACAGTACCCTTGTTAGGAAAATATTTGTTATTCACTATGATGCTAGTTACCTTATCAGTAGTTGTCACTATCGTGGTGCTAAACATAAATTTTAGGTCACCAGTCACCCACCATATGGCCCCGTGGGTGCGGAAAGTCTTCATAGATTTTTTACCCAAAATATTGTGTATACAAAGACCAGAAAAACCACCTGATGACGATGACGATAACGATAAACCTACCGAGGTAAGAAATTTATCTTAAAAATAAGAGATCGGACCATATCCTTTGATACACACACACATAACATACATGACACAACGTTTTATATTACTTTATTATAATGTTTTGATCACATCTGTATAAAAACACTTATAAATTAAGTTTTCCAACGAAAATTTCTTTTAGATTGAAACAACATCACGGGGCCTTTTCTCATTGAGTTTCCTCCATTCAAAATATTTTCCATCGGAACGGATTCAATACAAACAGAACAGAACGCTATTACAGCCGAGTCGAAGCCTCAACAATAACCATTTTAATTGTCCTTAACCGTGGGACTCTTCTGGGAAACGCTCCTTTCAACGATATTCTAAATCCATTGTACTCTGTGTGTATCGTGAAAACATCGCTTCCAGCCCAATTTCATTCCATTTCGATTTTCCTTTATTACTCAACGCCGGGCGAGCTTAACGAGCGCGCGCGGCCTCCGTTATTTATGTTCCCCTGGTGGCTGCGGACGGATTGTGCGATATATACGATGTCTGCTGGCTCGGTCCGAACCGAAACCTCCACTCTGGCCTAATTGTGTACCGGCTTAAGCTGCATCGATACACTGCCTCTCGCGAAACGCGTACTGACGTTTTAATCTCTTGGCATTTCATTCGACCATCCATTATTGCATCCAAACGAGTTCAAGTTCTACTTTAATTTCTATGATTAACACGAACTGATTATCTTAGTATCTCTCTGATTGATTTTGTTTTTCAGATACTAACTGACGTGTTCGGTCCGGATGACGACGGGAAGTTTAAAGAATGGGGTTGTGAAGAATATGAACTACCAGGAATGCCTCCCTCCCCACCGCCCCCTCCGGGGGGCGACGATGAGCTATTTTCTCCACCACCTGGATCTCCTTGTCGCTTAGACCTAGATGACGGTAGTCCATCTCTAGAGAAACCTTATGTAAGAGAAATGGAAAAGACTATAGAAGGATCTAGATTTATTGCACAGCACGTCAAAAATAAGGATAAGTTTGAAAGTGTAAGTACATGACGTATTAAAATAAAATATTTGTAGACGCTGCTCATTTTGACAAAAGCGATGTTTCATTTATCATTGAGAACCATTCGAAATAAAAAATCTAAAAAGTAGTAACCAAAACTGTTAAAAAAATAACGTTTTAAAAAGAGTTCTGCGGTCGTGCCCTATTTATAATGATTCTGGATGTTGCTTATTCTTAATGAGTAAAAAAGAAATATCTCCACCAGAATACTTAGATTCAATTCTCATTCCTGGTGCATTCCGACAGTCATAATTCCGCTAATTTTGTAAAATATACGTTGACAGTTGCTGTAGCTATATAAAATGTATTCAAAAGAGATGGTAGTAAAATAATAACTAACTACGAGTATATTTTATTAATAGAATTCACAATTCGAGAGTTTTTTTTATTATCAGAAAAGTTCTAATAATAAAAAAAAAACTCAATTTTGTTATTGGCAAATGAAGTCTTTTGTTACACAATTTTAAATAGGCTATCCTGTTTCAGGTGGAGGATGACTGGAAGTATGTGGCAATGGTATTGGATAGAATTTTCCTGTTCGCGTTCACGATAGCCTGTGTGCTCGGTACAGCGCTAATCATCTTCAGGGCGCCTACATTCTATGACAACACGAAGCCGATCGACATTCTATATTCAAAGATTGCCAAGAAGAAGTTGGAGCTGCTAAAGATGGGTTCCGAAGGGGACCCGGGTCTCTGAAATTCGTCTTACGTCTTCGGCCACTCGCCGCCGAAGACGTTCTGGGAGCTGATCGTCATGTGGTGGCATGGATGATCTGTGTAAAGCTCCCAGTTGGGAACTATTAGGCGAGAACTATGTGCTTTGTGATCAGTGTGGTGCCTAGCGCCAGGAGCGCTGAGGGACGTATACACGCCGTTAGCGTATCCAAAGCCGTCTCTTTATATAGAAAGATAATAAACTTGATGTCGAGACTGTGTCCGTCGAGTTCAAAAGTCGCTGTGACCTCAAGCACGGCCGTTTTGTGTTGAAGCCGAATCCGCCGCAACTATTTTTATATTAGAATCGCTGTATTAAACGTTTATACTTTAAGCGAACGTATTAATTTACATTTATTGACGAAATATTTCTTTTCCAGGTAATAATTTGATATGAGCGCACAAACATTGTACAGTTTAATGTTAGGTGTCTGTATTTATTTCTCGCGTTAGAACATATTAATTGAGAACATTAAAATTCATCATAATGTAATACATAATTACCATTAAGGTTAACTTCGAATAAATCGAGCTCAAATTCGTAATGTCTAAGTATTGTAAAGTGGTAATATTCAGTCAAAAGTCGATTAGCATCAAACACTTGTAATAGTAGTTACGAGCAAACGTCCTCGATGAGAGCTGGACTATTTAGATTATATAATTAATTATGGTGTAATGAAATATGACATATACATTATATAATATTTAATAAACTGCGTACTCGCGTAAAAATCTTAAGGACAATATCGATTATTGACGAATGTAATAAGTCCCTTTTAGTAGTAATGTCGTAAGGGATTGTAGATCCAATTAGGTTAAAAGCCTAGTCATCAATACGTCTTAAGACACATCTATCATAATGCCAAAAATAGTTGAAGTTACATTGCAAACGTGAAGTATTACTTTAGATATATTTGTGTAACACAATTGACTGCCAATTGTAAGATATGTAACCATTTTTATAAAAATCGGATATTCTTAGGTAGCTCGATAACTTGTTTTAATAGATTTTTTAATATGGAGTGCCAAATCTATCAGTATAAATGATGTCATACTTCCAAAGTTTGCCAACAGACGGTGTTGTTTTTCTATGCGCGCTAATTTAATTAAAGTTAAATGTATCTTTTCGGGTTCGCTTACATAAATTTTGATGTATTTATAAGGATTAAAATGAATGCTTACCCAAAACTGCAATGACTGACAAATTCTGAAACTTAAAGCTTAAGTTGCGCGCCTGCTAGACGGTCGAGCGCGGCAAAACACCTCTTTCGTAATGTTAATATTAACAGTATTTTCACTATAAATCCTAGAGTACAGGGTAAATTTAGTACACGAATATCTCTTGATTTATATTTCTCACAAATTTTCACCGAATGTTAAGTCTTTACTCACTTATCGGCACTTTACCACTTACACTATTAGATAATAAATCATTGTTGAGGTTTGTGACTTAAGTATGTAAATTAAGTAATATTTCATTAATTTATATCTAGATTAGATTCGTATTAGATACCTTTCTTTTCTTTAGGTCATGAATCACGGTTCTTTTCTTGTTGATATTGTTTGTAAACGACGCGTAAAGTGTTTTTACTTCACTTCAGCCCATTCCGTAGGATATTTGTAGCAGTCTAAAGTAATAAAAAATATTTCGAGCCGCGTATTTGATATGTCAAAGTAATTCATGATAATGTTTATTAGATAAATACTTAGATAAACTCAAAGTTATTGATATTAATGATGAAAAATCCACAGCGAGCAGTTAGGAAAACAGGGATGGATATTGTAAAATAAAAAAAAAACAAATTGTTTTGTGTGGTTCGTCTTCGTAATTATAAGTGTTATTGAATGTGTATAGCTGTTTGTGTACGAACGTAACGCATAAAAATGGCTAGTCTAGAATTAGATGATATGTAATAAAACTAAAAAAAAAACGGTCTAACGCATTAGACGTTATGGAAAGCTCGCTAAAGGTTGAACGATGTTAAATATTAGCAGAAGTTACGATAAACGCTGTATCACTTACGGACTGGCTCCAATATAAAGTACTTCGAAGGAATTCTTGCATGGAATTGTAATGTATCCTCAAAACTTAATGTTAATTTTTCTAATTTACACATTCACGTCGTTTAAAATAAAAAGTAGGAACGTGCTATTGCACCACCGAAATACACCAATTTAGTATTATTAAAAAATTGACATTAAATTAATTAAGCTTTCCACACTACTCAGTAATCATCCGAACTTTTATTGTAGATATTTGCTAGATGAAACGGTCTGTTGTTATTTTTATATGACTGCAAATTAATGATAGTTAGATTTTCTAATACACCATAGGTTAATGGTTTAGAAAGAAGTGACGTATAGTATAACATATTAGTACATAAGGCAGGACGTTGTTCATATATATTTCAAGCATACATTTTAAGTTTAATAGATTGATTAAAGGCAAATTGTCCTCAGATACTATTTTGCAACGTCACAATAGATCAGTTAACTAAATTTACTTAACACACTGCAGATTATTATTTGAAATGATGAGCGAAAGTGAAAGCAATAATCCAACATGTTTGTTGTCTCGACCTTACTTTATCTTCCAACTTTTTTAATCAGTTTTTACCGATCTTCAGAATCCCAGAGAAATGTTTGGGTATGAGGGCAACTTATTTGTTTTCAACTTTTTGTTTGTTTTTTTTCTATTTTTATTAATTTTTTTAATTTATCAATTATTGCACTGTGTTAATATATTTGACATGTCAGTTTAAATGTGTATTTCACTTTAAACATTATTTCACATCTTTATTTTGAATGCATTAACGTTTTCGCAGCGGTACACCAAAGAGTGTATTTAATTTCGTGAATGCATTTAGTTCAATAAGATTTTATTATGTTGAAATGATCTCAGAATTGATCACACCCTGTTACTTCGTCTCTAAGACCTTTAATATTAACTTTATGTTAAGTAAGATGTGTCATATTTTATCTTCTGAAAATCGTTAGTGTCAGACAATTAGTTTGTATAATTATTATAATGTTTCGGGTGATAAACGGGTAAGCGAAGTAGTGAATTTTGTCATATAATTGACACTAGATAGGTAATAAAACAATAAACTCAAAAGCTAGGAAACTCGTAAGTAAGATTAAAATGGGTATTGTCTATTATTATTAAGTGGTATATAATTATATAAATGATTAGCTTCTCAGTGTTTTTAGAGTTAGTCGACGAATGAGTCAACTTGCCGACACGGTGTCAGATAAATTTGTTATAAATAATTGTTTTGTGTTATTTTTGATCATGTGAATATTTATAAAGTGCCAAAACGTATTATTACTAAGAATAGAATAGATATATTGTTATGTTTATTAATTATTTAATAATGTCATGTTACAGTTGAATATTTTAAAAGCAAGTTTGTCTACATCGGGTATCAGAGTTGTAAACTCATAGTCAGCTATCACATGGCTGTCAATAATTTTAAGAATCAACTTACCGAAATGTTGACGTGTAAATATAGCAGATCAACATAGAAATTTAAATAATACTTATAATTGACAAGTTATTTTTCTACGTTCTTTTCAGTTACCCTTAGTGCTAGAAGTAGTGGATGCCCTAGTGTTATCGACCTTTGCTTTGTCACTAAATATTGATAAGATATTCCACTTTAGTTTATAAAGCGATTAATTTCAATTATACGTAAGTTTTATATTATTTGAAAGGAAATCAGTATAATAATCCGAAACGCTTTATAATTAGGTTGGTCGAAATCTAGAATTTCGTATAGTCATTTCTTCTACTACACTTTTTGGATATCGTATGCTTTATTGCACGTTTTGTTTGGTTTGCTTATAAAATCGTTTATCTAATCTTTATATATTAAGTACTTTATACCTATTGATATCTAAATAAGTTAGTCGTATTTGCATGGTTAATCGAACGTCTTCCAAAGTGACGTAAGGTATTTTTATTTCTACTGTTATTTGTTTATTTTATTATCCACATTTATTACATCTTTTATCTTTGTCTAAACATTTTCGTGTAACTTTTCCTCTATCGTTATTTTTACTAATGTGCGCAGTGGTCCGATCTGGCAGGCACAAATGTTCTCAACATTGTTCAACAGAGCAGAGATGAAACGATTTTTTATCCAATAAAAACGTGCTTCTATGGTACTTTATTCTTCTTAGACATACTTAAATGATAACGTAATAAAATATACTATACAAAATATAAAATAAAAGACGTCTAAGGGATAATTATAAACTAAAATTTGTGTCACTACCATAAAGTAATTAAGGAAAATGAAAAGAAAAGCTTACTACAAACTTTTTATTGATTTGTTCATCATTCATATTATAATAAACATAATTAAAAGTAGTTATTTAACTTCAGCTCAGTATTAATAGTCATGAATATACTTAATATTTTTATGGAAATGTCAATTCATGCTAGCCTTAAAATAACATTTGTTCTACAATATACGAAAGCAGTCATTTCTAAGTAATTGAGAACAATAATTGAAACGAGCAATTATTCAAATAAGACAAAGCGAGTAAGTTTTTTTATTAATCTCAAGAAATGTTTTAACGAAACCACAGATTAAATAAGTATCATAATATAAATATAGCAAAAATATAGTCCGCTTGAAGTCGGATCGCTGCAAAACAATAATTTATTCAATCTCTTCTTTGTACTTTTATTATCTTCATAGTTTAAACATGTACTATATATAATAAAGTAATTATAAATATGTATTAAATAAGTAGTTGAAACCACACGAAATTTGCGTTGAGCTTCCAACACGATTAGATGTAAATACAGAAATAAATAAACCACTCTCTCAATATCTCTTCCTTCTTTTGTATAAGAAAGAGAATGTATTATACCAATATCGTATATAGAGGCTGATAATTATAACTGGAATATTAAAGTCTTGTCTAGTCAATTTGTTGTCAATAACTAATAGGCAACCTTTGTGACATCGATCACAAACTTTGAACAAAATTGACCGGAATGTCAGCAATCGAATGTTAGGTATTTTAATTCAAATGCCCTACTGATATTGGGCCCGAGGATGGCCTGCATCATTGTGTAAAGAAATGTGTCTAATAACATTTTTATAGTAAATAGTAGTATTGATTTAATACTGTTTTTTATTAAATGCATGCTCGTTTCTTGTAGCATTTAAATCGGCTATATTTTATCTAACAATTAATTGTCAGCAGCTATAAACGATTTAATTGTATCTGCAATGAATGTTACATTATTTAAAGTAAAAAGTTTGGTGTGCCTTATTTCATTGGTTCTTATGCTTTTTACCGTGGCAAAGACCAGGTAGAGACCATCACAAATAGTGACATCACAGTTTGTAACTCATTCGTGATATATAGCTTTGATGGATGTATCATATTGTCACACTATGTACTGTATGTTACAGTAGACGTAACAAAACTATATGCCACAAATTTATTAATTATATTAATTCATCTAATACCCAATTATAACATTTTACAGGTTATTCCAGAAATTGTAATTGATCTTTTGTTGACCTGGAAAGGACCTAACCAATTCACAGTTTGTTTTTTCATCATCATCAACAGCTTTTAGTAGTCCACTGTTGGACAAAGGCTTCTCCTTAGAAAGGAGGTTTTGGTCTACGATACCCCAGCGAGTCTGCTTTTTTTAAATGTGTTTATTATTGTGTTTTGGGGACACATTTAAATCAGAAACATTTTGTTAAAAATAAGGTCAAGGTCTGAACTGATGACTGACTTATATATCATTATATCCATAATGTCGACATTAGCCATCTGAATTTGGTTATCAAATTTAATTCAAAGTTATCTCATGTTACTTGTCCATAAAACTATATTCTATTACTAAAGTCTATTTGCGATAAGAAAAAAGAGACGCATTAATCAAGTCCCGAATCCCAACCAATCAGGTTTCAAGCTTTCAATAATTTCTTGGAACCTGATTGGTCTGGGGGCGGAGCTTGATCGATGCGTCACTATTTTCTTAACGCAAATGAACTACAGTTTCTACAATTCAGTTAAGGGTAATATTATGAAAATATATTGGTGTTACTCTACTTAGACAATATTGGTAGGTTATACGTGGTAGACGTCCCGGTGCGTATTTCATCACCGGACATACAACGTTGATAGATAATATTGCATGTATTTAGTTCACTATAAATACCTACATTTATTCACTCTTTGGTTCAAACCTTTTCTTTCAAAGGCGTAACTATCTTAGTCACTACCTGAAGTTCAGATCAGACAGATCTATTCCATGTAATCAATTTTTGATCTTTGCCACGGTAATATGGTATTTCAAAACGTAGAATTGTTATTCCTTCTTGTGTGCTTCTGGTAGATTAGTTATTTAATTAATTGTCAAAATTCAGCTGATTACTTTAGGGTCTTATATCTTTATATCGATTTAAGTATATTTAAGAAAACTATTTATATCAAAGGCAATGATAACTGATACGTTAGGTATTTTGTAATAATTTGTTGTCGTAACGACTTAGGATAAGTATATCGAACTTTTCGTAAATTTCAATATTAATTATTAAGTGTAATTAATGTCCTCTATTACTAGTAATATATAGTAAATTTTTGGTTAGTTATTGAATTGTTTTTCACCTTTCTAGTCACGAGTAACGGTGTTTGCGTGTGTAGGAATTGAAGATGACATCCATTAAAACACATGAGTAACATAATATAATGTGTATTATGTATCATACACATGTATATGCACAACACATCTGTTTTAAACTATAAACTCATGAATTACGTAAAATAATAATATTTATTTCATTATAGATCCATCTTTACCAGAATTTGCCATATAAATCAAGTTGGATAAACAGACTATTACAGATCGGTGTAGTGATATTTTAGAGTATAGCGGTCTGCTATATTTCGTAATGTAAACTAACTGGCTAACTGTAAAAAATAGGCAAATGTGGTTTTAATGAAGAATTCCTATTTTGAAATAGACGTTAAACCAAAATTTGTTTAATTAGATGGCTGGCATGAAAAACACCAGAAATATTTCATGCCAAAAATTTAATGAATTTTTCAAAAATTGGCATGAAAAATAACAAGTAAAATCAGTGAAATTGGCACGGAAATTCGTAACTCATTGTTTATAAATGTGGTCTACATCAGGAAAAGTATATTTAAAAAAAATGTAGGTCTATTTTTTGCTCAAGCTAAGGCTATTTGTCAGATAGAAATTTGCTCCTAAAATTTGAAAAAATATTTTGTAACACTATATATTATTTTATTAAATGGTAGTAGTATATTTACATATACATATTAATTCACATATAAACAAATAAATCTTATAAAATCAATAACTATAAAACCCCGCAACGATAAAGAAATACAAACAGTTTTAGAATATACTGTATAATATAAATTATGAATGAAATATTCTACATATATGGATGTTTATTGAAAAGCCAAAACTATTTTATTCATGTGTTTTCCTGTACTGATTAACAATTAAAGTTGATCCACAATCAACAATTGCTACATACATAATCTGACCGGTGAAAATGACAGTATGCAAACGAACACCACACTAATAATACAAAATATAAGTATAGATAGTTACATGAGAGTGAATTCCTAAATAATAATTTATTTTAATATTAAGGATATAAGGTAATAATGTACGTCATACAATAATAGACTTCTACGAGAATAATCACTTATAGAGTTAAGACAAATAATCGACATTAAGAACAGACGCATTGACGTAAATGTTTTGAACAAACCGCGAGTTATCTGTACCAAAGCTGACTCGTATACACTTTTTGCGAAATAATCGTTAGGTATTTAAGATATATAGTAAAAGAATAAGGTACGTGTATTGAAGACTTTGACAAAGGCGTAGATAAGGATACAGTCAGCTCTGTTGTAGTTGTCCAATTTCCGCGTGTTCAACTTTGCGTCAGTGTGGCTGCACCTTAATAGATCAATCACGTGTATCACAAAATCATTGCCACTTAATACTTTTAAGATTTATGCACTATGCTACGACATATATGTATAAATATAATGAAATTCGTACCGTAATTTAAGTCATAATAGCTCAATAATTTATAAAACTCTATGAAATTGTAATAAATAGGTCATAAGCTAAAATTTAGGTGATTGCAAAGTTATTGTAAGAGGAAATAATTTACATAATAAAAATAAATAATTTACACCTTAAGGTTTAACGTTTAAGTTCCATTTTGTAATGTTAATTAAAAATCAAGCACTCCCATCACCATTCTGAATACACTCATGACTTCTTACTGCTAACATTGAAATGTATTATAAATATGAACTATAAATATTAAATGTTACGCGTTAATAATAAATGCATGCGTTTTATTGATGACATTTCTTTTTATTTTCACCTACATTTATAAACCCTGTATAAACGCAAGAGCAATTTAAATAGGGCCTTAGTTACAACTACCAAAAGCTTAGGCGTCAGTCAGGAAGAAAGGTCAATGTCTTATTAAAGCTAAGTAAAGAGCTACAAGACAAATTAGGATATACTCAAATTCGAAATTTACTTCGACTACTGAGGGTCCTACTGAAGGCATATGCAAAAGTTCCAATTAAAACTAATTCCCATCCAGGACAAGCAATTATTTGCTGAACAGGATCAGTTATTCTGTGACAGATGTCCAAATACTAAACAAAACACATACAAGGAAATTAAATATCATCTTTTTATATTGTTATGAATGGAAATTAAAAGGCACCGGTAACGTAACCCTTGACGTATCTGATTTGAAATAAAGTGGCTGTAGATTCGAGATCCGCCAATTGTACTAACGAAGTAAACCTCTTCTAAACAATTGAGAATAAGAATATTATTAACACAAACATCTCGTTTTAGTTGACGTTAAACAAGTTGATGATTATTGCTGGCTCTATATTACACGATAACCTATGTGTATTCGATGGCAGTAAGCTTAAATGTCGTATCTCGAAATATCCAATTATACACCAGAAACCAAAAACTGACGATGCACTGCACTGTACGGATGGCGTAGTGGTTTAAGCGGTCGCCACGCCGCAGTGTTGTGGGTCCGATCCCCACATGGGACGACACTTTGTATGATCCACAAATTGTCGTTCTGAGTCTGGCTGTTCTTTGTGTCCGTATTATGTATGTTTGTAAAGTCACAGGATATATTCCTAATGCGGGAGTTGTCTTTAAAAAAAAGCCTTTTTTAATTAACTTTTATGGTCATAGAAAAAGCAGACATAGACTATATGATATGATGCTTTTTTTAGAGTTAATTACATACTAATAAATTGTACACTTAGGCCGATTTGCGAAAATATTTTCGGTCAATAAATACATAATTAATATGCCAAGAGTAATCCTTAATACAAAATTTCATAACTTCAATCTTTGTAGACTTCAGTAATTTTTCTCATAATTAACCTATCCTTGACTGTAACTGCTACTAAATAACGCCCATGGATTTAACCTAGTGTCCACCGTAGGGGCTGGTGCATTATAGTATCCCTTTATTAAGTCTATTAAAGATATCGGACACTTAAACTGCTCGCAGTTATCTAGTATATGGCCAAGACGGGAAGCCGAGTCGTAAATTGCGTGTTCCAATGGTTCTGATGCTAAGACCTTAGTTACTGGCATTCTGTAAAAGAAAAAAACGTAATAAGTAGGTATTTTATTTCTCTAGTAGATGCTAGTAAAACTACTTTATGGGGCATTGATTCACTGCAAGCTTGAAAGTGCGATGTATGTGTGAAATCAACACGAGAGCACATACGCTCTTCTGCTTGAAAAAGTACAAAAAACTTTGCTTAAGTATCTCTATAAGTGTGTTTACGAATACTATACATATATGTATCCCACAAATAACTAAAAAAAAACTGCATTATTAAGTTCATAACTGAACTAAATTTACGTCGGAGAGCATGAACTAAATTTACGTCGGAGAGCCGCGCATCTTCTCATGGGACGACTCGACCAGAGTGTACATATAAACAACCAATGTTAATCAATTCTTTAAATAAGTAATTTAGTTGAAATTGTTTTATTTATGCTAATTATAATATAATATTTATATGTGCTAATTATTTATTTGTCCACTTTATTAGACCTTAATAATAGGAACTGCTTTCATTACAGTTTGCCTTAAGGGCACAATTCCAATTACGTAGGTAATCAACGCCGCAACAAAGTACTAATGTTGACATAGGCACAATCATGTTTTGGTGTGCAATTAGTATTACAAACAGCATACCGACGCTGTTGTTTAACCCACTAAACTCCTGACAGCTCTTTGAATCAGTCCAGCACAGCCAAAGTAGAGGATCTGATATGATATACTTTTTGTTTGCTTGGACGTTTCAAATTTAATAGAAATCTATGTAGTATTAAAAAAAAACACGTTATTTACACATATCTGAATAATGGTTCAAAGGCGGCAATGTTTCAATCAAGTAATCAATCCAAGTCTCACCCATTTGGAGTCTATTAATAATTATCGTTTCATTTAAACATGTAACATTGGTTGTTGTGAATAATTCACGTAGTCAATGTTGATGGCGGTAGAGCTGTTTTCTTTTAAAGTACTATAATAAGACTCGAACAATTATTTCGTATTGTATTGATCAGAATATTTAATTAAGTATAACAAAGGTAAGTTTTCAAAGTTTTTGAGGTCTAAGAGTACTGTATGGTTATTAATAGTCTAGTCTAGATCTCAGTCAAACAACGATTTAGGGCATCGTCTAAATCTCGTCGTCTCGTTTTTTTTAAGCAAATAATAATCTCTCATGTCATTCATAACTTTTCTCAGCTTTTATAATTTTAATAACTTTTTTAATAGGTAATTAATACTATGTTTCATCAACCCTTCATAGTCCACTGCTGGATGTAGGCCTATCTTTATAAAGGAGGTTTTGGCCTACTATACCACGCTAGCAAGATGGGTTGGTATACGGTTTGTTTCAAGTTTGCAGTACTGTTGTCCTAAGTAGTTCACTCCCTTAGTCGGCTCTCAGAACACCCACGGGATGAAAAGAGATGGTAACACTCCGTATTCTTAATCCGTTACAACACAGTCATGATACGAGTAGTATGTATAATTTTAAAAGTAAGTATGTAGTTATAGGAAGGTTCACTTACGAGAACAAAGTTCTAAACATTTCTTCAATCATATTGCCTCCGTGAGGGACAAGTCTCTTGGTCGTCTCACACAGGGTCTTCAAAATGCAGTCTCTACCGCTGTAACCCATGCTGAAATATTATTAATAAAATATTATATTCCCTCACTCTTATTACTATAGTATATACTCTTCTGAGTACTCAGAAGACCAACTTATAATGGCTATGGCAACTTATATGGCTAAAAAAAAGGATTAAATAACACTCAAAATAAATTTATAAAAAAAAAAAATTTTTTAGTCTATGATTCAGAATTTTTCCATTTTCTAAATATTCTAAGCTTCTATCGATTAGTTCTAAATACGACTGATGTTTAGAATACCTAAAACTGTGTTTTTTTTTCTTACTAACGAAGAAATTGTTTAATTTTATTTAATGAAGAAATTAATTAGTAGAATTTGCAGAATTAAATGTAAAGAGAACCACTCACTTGTCCATAATCACCTCCAATTTTTGATATAATTCCCGTCTGCTCCTTCGTTGTTCCATTGGTTTTCTTCTTCCCTTGTTCCGTCTGTAGAATATAGCTGTTTCTGTGGCATTAGGCAGCTCGTACGCAATACCCCAGTTCAAACCCCAAGTGAATGTGCCAGGAGCAGTCGTTGGAGATGGCTGGCCAATGACACCCACAGTCATGCATCCAGCACACTGAAATTAATAATTTTATTTATTTTCGTATTTTTTTAACTATTTGTCTTTAAAAAAGAGAGAGAGAGACAGAGAACAGGTTTCTTAGCTGAATATGGGTAGATGCCTTTGGATAGTATACATAAGCCGAAGATAAGTATGTTTACTATTAAGCAATGAGGCTTTAACATGACTTGGAAAACAAACGTTAAAATCGGCATATGAAAGATCAATATCAGCAGGTTTTAATAGTTTTATGTTATGTAACCTTTAACTGTTGATTTATTTACTTTTCGCGTCATTAAACACGTGAATAATAATATATTTGAAGAACAAATTAGTTCACAAAATGTTGATTATCTGTTAGAGAGTTGAAAGTTTCATTTGTGGTTTCTTTGTGAGAGAGCGAATGACAGCCAATAAGAGTACGCGATTAGAAGCAATATAATATATAGGTACATATAGGCATGTTGTGGCTTTACCTAAATGATATTGACTTAGCCTTTGTTGAGTAAGAAAATACGTTTAAACTTTAACATACGTGCGCTATAGCTAATCATATGTAAGTAATTATTAAGTAAGTCTCAGTAAACTTCTCTTTACTTATTGAACTGATATTTTATGGCGAGGTGGGTATGTATTAGAAGACAATGCTGCCATTAAATTATAAAGTCCGCAAAGTAGAAGTAATACGACTAGTCAAGTCTATGTAGACACACTAACCGTTTTTCAAGCGCTTAAAAGGCATGGAGACAGGCTCTGCCTAATTTGGGATCAGAGAGCTTTTTCTATTAACAACGGTTACATTATTACAATTACATTATTTAACCACTCTACAACTTCTATATTCTGAGAAACATACTGTGATAACATCTAACAGATCTACGGAGTAAACACTAATCCAACGTTTCAAAAATACAGTTCTCGCGCCGATTAGTACCTATAAATACAATTTTCCAATATCAACCGTTGCATCTGGAGTCCATGGTCATCTCAAATGTTCACAGGATCCTCAATTAATTTTAGACATAATACCCATTCCTCTACAAAGCTAAGTATCAACATAGCTTTTTGCAATGTGATTCTATTAAAGATAGCTCAAAAATATGTACTATTAAGCATATGTGCATAATGTAATCACATAAAAATAAATTCCATGTGTAACAAATATGCACAGTCATAAATCTAATGTAAAACATAAAAGTTCTCTTAACATTTTTTGAATATAAAATTCAGAAAAGCATGTAATCTACCAAGTTTTATGAGTGTTGGAGGCACGTTCTTTATCTTAGCACTTATCTTAAAGTACACATATATGTTCGAAATTTCAGAGGTTATAAAATATCCAATTATATTTTTATTGGATCCAATCAAACCATCTAATGCAAAGTGTGCAAATGCTTACAGCCCCGAAGCACAAAGCGTTGTATCATCAAATAAATGAAGTGTGATACGTTCCATTTATCTGCCGGTACTATGTTATGCCGTTAGCAGAAATTAATTATCGTGTGATTCAGTAATAATGAGAAAATGGTAATAATTAAATGATAATGCAATAAAATGATCAATGTTTCCTTTACTGGGATGAATGAACCGTGTAAATATTTTTAGTTTAGATTAGATCAAAATGTGGGGTAGTCGTTAAGTGAGAGAAAACAATTTTCAACAAAATGTGGGATCCTTCAGTCTACCTTTTCATGGATATAGAGATGAATATATATGTACAATATGTATGTATGCATTTATTATAATAAGAGCAAACTGTTAAATGGACAGATCGAAAACAGACAAAAGAAGAATGGGTAGTATTGGTGCAAGTTAAAAGTAAACAGAAAAAGCATTTAGTTAAGAGGTGATACCTGTACTATATTGTATAAGGACACATGTGTATATAAATATCTTATATGTACATACACACATACTCACATAAATTACTTTAAATTTATTTAAGTGCTTTTACACTTTCCATTTGAATTAAAGAAGTAACCTAAAAACATGTATATTTTATTTGTGGCTGCAGACTTATGTGATCTGAATACCTCTTGATAAGACGCTTCTCATATCAACTTATCAGTTCTGCCAATTTTGGTTTAAATATAATATTTTGTGGTCGTTCAGAATTGAGATTCAAGGAAATCCTCAGAGATTTCATGAAATTTAACTACTGTAATACTTAATGTCATCACAGTCATAAATAAATGTTTATGTAATCTGTCATTTAAAAAAAACCACATTCAGCATTACTGTTCAACTTTTTGTTATTTTTAAGATGCGTCTATTTTACAAATTTAATTGCAAAACGTATAAAAATTAGAACTAACTACGAACAATATATTTTAAGAGATCATTACTTTTTAATGTGCATTATTAGTAGTAGTACGCATAAATACTTTAATTGGCAGTAAAAAGAAGAAATATTAATGTTAAAATAGTTAAAAACGAACAAACATCTTACCGAAAAACTCGAACCTTCAGGAAACGCGACGTACCTTCTTCTTCTAGATAATAACTTAGAAGCATCTTTTGACGCAAAAACCCCACATAGGTACAGCAGTATAAAAACAGATAGAGTGTTAAAACCAAAAAACATATTGGAGACTGGTGTACAACCTGCCACGGATTAGTATGCGAATGGAGTTAAGGCTTAACAGTTAAACCGGGCGAGGCTACATAACGGTAATGGCAATATTCATGTATTACAGCTAATCACATTGACACGAAGTGTTTGACCCCGTGAACTAAATTCCTTAGAAAATAACACCAAAAAAACTGGGATAATTTTTGTGTGACTTGTAACACAATCTTTTCATTTCTACTTTATTTTTTTGATGTTTTTTTACAAATTGTTTCGTGGGAGAGCCTAGCTTCGGCTCACATAGACCAGGTTCGACCTGTGTGTGTTCGATCGAATTATACCACTGCCTCACAGAAAACCAATCTAACCCCTCCCCCGATTTTCAGGGAAAAATTAAACGGGTGGTAAAGCCCTTATGACTCTTCACATCAACAGCATTTAATAGTCCACTGCTGGACATAGGCCTCTCCTTAGAAAGGAGGTTTTGGCCTACTATACCACGCTGGCCAGACGGGTTGGGATAGGGTTCACACACCCACGGGATGAATAGTGGTGGTGACACATTGTATTTTTAATCCGTCACCACTTGAGTTTAAGGTATCCATCGGCGATGGTAGTCACTTACCATCAGGTCACCCTGCTCTGCTCGTTTGCCGCCGATACCTTAGAAAATATTATAACCAATAAAACCACAAAAAAACAGCTTCTGTATTGTATGTCTGAAATCTCAAACATTTATGAGTCTTTAGTGTGTTTTTACCCTCCTTATAACTTAAAAAACACTTGATTTAATATATAATATACACAAGAAATCAATTTGTATTTCAAGTGTTCAAAAAGCACTTGGTGGTTTAACGTAGCATATAGCAGGCTTACTGTCGAGAGTAGTTATAAGTTAAAATATACTCTGATATGTTGGATTATAAACACTCTCGAAAATGCCTCGAGCCAAGAACACAGTGTGAAGATTTATGATCTTTTGTTTTTCTTTTTTCTATACACCTTCTATACATCTTTGGGTGTTTAAAACGTCAAATAGAAAATAATGACAGGTAATTATTTGCGCGAGTAGACTGTTTTCACATCAATATGCGAAAACGGCGTGTATCTTTGATGCGTAGGGTAGGGGCTAACAGCATACTGCCATGATTGCAGGGAGTTAGGTTGTAGGTACACAGGTCACTGCTGCCACATCTCTCATGGAGTGGTGAGGCGATAACCTCAGTGCACCTACACATGAAAATGCAACAATTAATAATTTGAAAATAGTCTCTACTAAAAATGTGTCATGGTTACTTGATATAAATTATATTATTATATTCTCTTTATTTCATTTTTATTATAAAACTCTTAAAGGCAAAAATAACATGTCACTATACATTTGCTAGTTGACTACCTTGCAATTTTTTTCTTAAATAATAAAAAAAGCCGTGTGGTGTCGTGGGACACCCGATAGGAACGAAGTTGTGACGATCGAGTAAAACTGATTTGACACGATTTTAATTACAACGCCATCTATGAAAGCGGCATATTAAAAACAATTAAAACAATTTATACATTGGTAAAATCTCTGACAAGATGACACGAAAATAAAGAGCAAAAAGCCAACATCACGTGGTATTCCAAGGCGGTCACCCATCCAAGTACTAACCACGCCCGATGTTGCTTAACTTCGGTGATCGGACGAGAACCGGTGTATTCAACATGGTATGGACGTTGGCGAACGTTAAAGCAAATTTAATGTATGGTATCCACAGTTAGACGTCAATTTATATTAAAAAGTGTCGTGACAAATTTTCGTACGAATTTTTTCCGTCTAGCCCCCTTTCACAACGCGCGATAAGGAACTTCGTTCCAATAATAACTTCACACATCTTACACACGGCCGTCTGATTCCAAACTAGGCAGAGCCTATGGTAGGTTACCATTGCAAGTTAGTCTGGTTAGACTGCTGATAAGCATATTTATATATTTATAAATACATACATATTATAGATAAATTACACCCAGACACAGAATAAATCATCGTGCTCATCATACAATTATTTATCCTGAGTGGGAATCGAACCCACGACCTCCAGCGTAGGAGTCAGGGTCACTAACTACTAGACCAACAAGCCCGTCATTAATTTTTATTTTCATATGTTTTTTTCTTTATTACGGCTAAATAAAGAAAAAAAAACATATGAGTCATCACTGACAATTATTATCACGGTATTTATAATTAATCATTCATATATATACCATCATATGTATCACCAATGACATACCGAGATATTTGACAATGGACTCACGGAACCCTGGCATTAAGATTTGACCTTGAACTAACTTCAACAAGCATGATATTGATAGTGACATTACAAGAGTTCCGTTTTTTCATCAGATACACTGGACCCTCAAAATATTGCGCTTAATTTCCACAAACGTCAGCCTGAATATCAGAAGTTGATTAATGTGACCAGAAACATACTGAAAGCCTTTCATAAGGCTTTATTGGGTTTTTCGAGTTATTTATTAACCCATTACTACACACACTTATTACTGTCATATGCTTGACCACAATACATGTATAGATTATTACTACTAGTATATTAACGGCGCGTTTGCTAGTATAAATACATATTGAAATTGATTTCCTTGTTATAGAAGCATAAATGATATATTTAAAATACACCCAAATCAAAAATATGTTTATTAAGAAAGTATTATAAAGATCAACAGCTCTGTTCTAACCTCTAAAAAAGAACGGATGATCTGAAGTATGAAAACTCTAACGGCTGAACTAATTCCATTCAAGAATGAATGGCTAAGAACATTCTCGTACATGGCTTGATCGAGAATCATTTCATTCAAAAAACACTTTTATATTTTCATTAAATTTTTATTTATTCGAATCGATCGGGTCATTTAGGATGATATAATGCCATAGATAAAGACAATGAACAGTAAACTACCAGATGTACATACACATTAACTGCACGAATGGCGTGGTATTTTAAGCGGTCGCCACGCCGCTTCTTACTACGTCGAGTGTTGTGGGTTCAAACCCATCGTGGGACGACACTTTGTGTGATCCACAAATTGTTGTTCTGAGTCTGGGTGTTCTTTGTGTCCGTTTCATGTATGTTTGTAAAGTTCCCCGCGACACAGGACATATTTCTAATGAATAATAATAATAATTTTCTTTAAAAAATAACCTATTTTATTCGCTGAGGTTTTCAAACCTAAAAACTCGATCTAGCTTGTGATCTAAGACATAGATCATATTGTGTAAGCGAGAAAGAGTTCTGATCTATATAAATACAATAAACTTTTTCTTTAAACATTACTGAATTCATTTTGGATCATTTTTCAAATTGTTTATTTCCACTTGATTATTGAAAACAGTGATATATAGCAGCTACAGAGGGGCTCGTGGCTAATTGGTAACGGAGTAGGTTAACACATTGCAAAGTTAAGCAATCATAGCCAGGTCAAGCTATGGATGGGTGACCATTCTTAACACTTAGCACGTTAAGCCGTCGATCCCGATTGACATACGAATATTTCTGGCGATCGTTACGGGTAGTTCGAGCCCTATAAGTCCAACAATAGTCTTTCTACAGAAGTTCAAGATTGCCTAGTTCTCGTACTTGGGTTGTGGAGGTCTATGGAAGTCGCTCCGCATAAAAAATCGAAGTTCAGCCGTATCGTACAAAAAATCCTGTGCTTGAAAAGATTCCTTTTAATTCTTACCTTTTACCCTTTTTATTCATCCTGTCATTTATACGACTCAATGAACTTACATTTTCTTTGCGAGAACGCAATCTTGTGGAAAAAATCATAAAAATCGAGACAAGTGTCGATTGTGCCTTGAGAGTTGGAAACAAATGATATTGACGGGTTTGACAAAAGATTTGACACTTTTGTGCAATTTTCTTGTTATATAAAAGAACTGTTAAGATTCAAGTCATACGTATAAATTAAAATGTCTCCGTGGATATACGTGTAAATATGTCAAATAAAAAATTTCAAAATTAATTTTAATAGATATTACATGTAGAAATGGTTGTAGATTAACTCACAGGCGGGATGAGTCAGGCTGTGATCACCAAAAGTGTACTTTTGTAATAATTATTGGCAATCGCGTTCATTCCTTTCCTTATTCATAATGACTTAAAACCTCCTTTCTAAGGAGAGGCCTATGTCCAGCAATGGACTATTAGAGGCTGTTGATGATGGGTAATGACTTAAAGAAGGTGGAGCTATCTTACTCTATGGTATTTAAGTGTTAAATAAAATGAAATAATATCCAAAAATAATAATGGGAAGTATTGTGAGCGTTTATTATGAGTCCTAGATCATGGACAAATGTATATAGTTGTATTTTTATTAATAAATAAACATGTACAAATACATACAATAAATGGATACAAATACAATAAATGGATACAAATATTTGCACTAAGTGGGAATCAAACTATTAATTATGTCAACATAATTAATGGTTCTAAACGCTATGAGTAAGGTATATCTTCACAAGGATGTTAAGAATACAAGTTAAACTTAACTGAAGACGGTGCCGTAAACTAAATTAATTGAATATATTATTAGCTAATTCTACGTTTCATACAAAAAGACACATTGAAGTAGCACGTTTAAACTAACTGAAGTCGGCAACTGCACAAGTCCAACTATCTAAATATAAAATATTGATGTTCATCTACTTTTGAAATATTGTTGAAAAAGACATGTTAAGTGAATTCTGTAAGTTTCTTAGGATAAAATTACTTTGTCCCTTTGTTTCGACAATGATTTATATCAGATCATTGTGTTCAGCTATTCTTTAAACGTGTTTATGGACCATGCGAGAACCATGCTGTAGCACATTATAGGCGGGCTCGACCGGAGTGACACCACGGCTTCATAGAAAACCGGTGTAATTTTTTTCGTTCCTTTTCACTCAGTGAGGTTACCACAAGGCCTAATCACTCCCTACTCTTCCCCACGTGTCTCTAGGGTTGCAGGTTTCTTTGGAAAACGATAGTCACTTACCGAATCACCTATCAGATGACCCGTTTGTTGAAAAAATTGTAGCTGACTGTTCTGTTGTTAAAAGATAAATACAGAAAGTGCCATATTTTAAAGTTTATGTCTGTTTAAAGCTTTTATTAGAAGATGGTTAATGGTAGGGGTAGCATTATTGTCGTAACTACTAACTGATTATTTAACAAAGTAACTCTAATATAGCACTAAACCCATTTGAGCGATTGGAATAATTTTAACCACTTACTCGATATTACAAAGAGTATTCGCTAAGCAATTCTTTCGCTGCATTGTCACCGAGTGATTGAGGTGACCGGAGCCCAAACCCCTCCTTCCTATTGATTCTGGTGGGAGAACTTAAAGGGCAGCCATGCACTGGTGACTCTTAAGTAGCAGATGTCCATTATACATACACACACGCACGTTCACATACATACTCACAAACATACTGTATTAGTCTCAATCATATAAGTTAATAAAATTTTAAAAGTGAGCATCGATCTACTTGTTAGGTTTTTTTTTACAGCAGAAGACTGATCTCCAAAATACAAGTCCCCACCTAGCTTGGATTGAATGGTATAAACACAAATTTATTCAAAATTAATAAAAAGCGAACGTTTCACATTATTGTAATTTGTACAAACTTTTTGAGTGGATAAAACTGTTTTTTTTTTAAATTTCATTACCGGCGGTAATCACTTACTATCAGGTGACCCGTCTGCTCTTTTGCCCTCTAATAAATAAAGGGCCTAAATATGCTTGTTACAAAATAGCAGTTAATATATGCACAAATGCATGAAACAAATATTAGAATACTAAAGGATCGCTTTATCATAATCCACATTTTCAGCAGCTAGCTTGTAGTAACATTATTGAAAATAATAAATCTTCACAAACGGTTAGCGTTGGGCTTTGTCCAGTGAAACACAGGAAACATTAAACAACTCGCTTTCTTCCTTTCTATTTTTAAAAGTAGGTCGAATATCTCAGTGACATTAATATCCCATTTATGTTCCTGCAAAAGTAATATTGATAATGTTTTAGAACTCATGTAAAAAAAAACTAAAAAATCTTAGATTGAATTTAAGATTTTAAACAAAGAACTTTTTCGTACAGTACAGTATTACAATAATAGTAGTAGTTTTAATTTCAAAAATACCTAAAACACTTGAGAATTTATTCTTGACCATGACCGTTCTTATAACAAAATTCCTAGCGAAAGACGTCTAAGAAAAAATATATTGGATTTTGAATATTTCGAGGTTAGGTACTAACATATTTTCAATCTTCTTATCGTGTCGATGGCAACACTTTACACGGCTTTGGCCCAGTGCTCGGCGACGCAGATTGTTTCTTTTTCCGTCGCAAAATATCGTAATTGTTTTCTTATTTAGTGTCAAAAAAGGATCAAAACTGTTCTAAATTATTTTTAATTATGTTGATTTACTCACTCATAATCATAAAAGGTGAACCTTCGGTAGGGATGTCAGTCAAATATATGAAATCTATTATCGATAAAACGTTCCATAATGTGATATTGCCCTCACGCACCCCTAGTCAGTTACACGTATAGATTTATAACCTAGAGGGAACAAGAGCCCCAATCTTGCAACATAGCCAACGAGAGAGATGGATAATAGATCGTTCCCTTTATCTCTTTCTAGTTGAGCTCTGTGGTTGGCTGGGGAATATAAGGGGTTAATAAGTAGCCAATCGAGAGCTTCGAGAGCTAAACAGAGACAGAGGGTACTATCGGCAATCCATCTCTATCGTTGCCTGTATCGCTCCCACTTACAGGCAGCTGTATCCTTGTTTATCCTTGTGTAGCTGTATGTTTGAATAAATGTTTGTAAAGTCAATCACGACACAGGATCCATTCGTAGTGCGGGAGTTGCCTTTTTAATGAAAAAAAATCTTGGAGGCACTACTAAAACTAATATCATGATAATACAAACTTCTCAATATTTTTATTTTCCGTATAACTATAACAATAACCAGTTAATTAAATATCACAAATCTATTGAAATGAACTGCTAAACAAAGACCAAGGACTTCTCCCGGTATCAACAGTTGGAGAAGGAGCGTTATAGTATCCTTTTATCAGATCAACGAGAGATATGGGACATTTGAACCGGTCACATCCATCTATTATTCCTCCCAGACGATGCGCTGCGTCGTAAATGGCATGCTCCAATGGTTCCGTTGCTAGTACTTTTGTTGGGGGTAATCTGGAAAAAAATTGCAAAAGGTGTTAAGTGTTTTTTTTAAAAAGACACCTCCCGCCTTAGGAAAATAATTCTGTGTCGCGGGGGACTTTACAAACATATATGAAACGGACACAAAGAACAAGCCGACTTAGAACAACAATTTGTGGGTCAAAGTGTTATTCCATGTGGGGATTGAACCCACGATACTCAGCGGGGTAGGAAGCGGCGAGGTGACCGCTTACACCACTACGCCATCCGTGCAGTCGTAAGGTATTATATTAATGTATATTAGAGGGGCTCGTGGCTAAGTGGTGACCGAGTAGCTTAACACATTGCAAAGTTAAGCAATCCTAGCCTGGTTAATCTACGGATGGGTGGCCATGCTAAACACATTGAGACCCCTCCGTGCCTCAGAGAGCACGTTAAGCCGTCGGTCCCAATTGCCATACGGATATCTGTGGCAATCGTTACGGGTAGCTAGAGCCCTAAAAAGTCCGACAACGGTCTTTATTAAGAACTTCGATATCGCCTAGTACTTGGGTGGGGAAGGTCTGATGGCAGTCGCTCCGAGTGAAAATCGAAGTTCAGCCGTATCGTGGTAGACTTAAATCCGACCCCAACTTAGTTTTGGAAAAATATAATATTACAATCATCAACAGCCTTAAATAGTCCACTGACATAGACATAGGCCTCTCCTTAGAAAGAAGGTTTTGGCCTACTATACCACGCTGGCCAGGCGGGTTGGTATAGGGTTTGTGTCAAGTTTTCCGTCTTTTTGCAGTGCTGGTGTCCACATAATATTACAATACTATACTAATATTATAAAAGTTTGTTTTATTGTGAAGCGCTAATCTCAAGAACTACTTACTGGTTTGAATTAGAAAAATCTTTTAGTGTCGGATAGACCATATTTAGTAAAAGGCTGTAGGCTATATCATCACGCTACGACCATTAGGAGCCGAGCATGAAATGTTTCAAATACGGGGATTTTTTTCTGTTTTTCAAGATTCTTCTTTTCAAGATACGTAGACGAAATAAGTAGTGCGGGTCAGCTAGTTTCAAAATGATAATGCTGCCAACGTCAAAGAGCGACCGACCCAGCTCGCAAAAGGGAATACTGCCAGTAAGCGAAGAACCAGAAGATTTCTATGATGCATGCATTTAGTCCATAGCATATTTATGTAGCCATAAATAATATTTCGATTATATTAGATCAAAATAACTACTACAGAAAATCCCAGATTAGCAATAAACCTTTTAGAGTAAGTACTATGTTTGTGTTCACAAGTAGGGTCACCAAGCTACTTCACATTTGATGTGTGGAGTATATAAATCTCTTACGGTTATAGCACATATCTGTGCTTGATGGTCAACTTAGAAGTGAATATAGATTGTTACTCATCCAGAAATACTTACGTAAACAAAGTTCGAAACATTTCTTCAATCATGTTATCACCACGAGGCAGCAGTCTCTGGTTCGCTTCGCACAAAGTCTTTAGAATACAACCTCTGCCGTTATAACCCATACTGAAATATATAAATAGGATCACGTGAGAGAGATCTTTAATTACAGAATTTAAAAATCATCACTTTGATGAATATTTCAGCCATAAGAGCTATCATTCGCTGCCAACAACAAATTAATTATTCTTATATAATTCAGTACGAGAATACAGTGATTGATCTATTTTATATGTAAGAAAAATAAGACTGCTTCTTCTTGACCGTTATCAATCTATACGTGATAACGTTTTTTGGCATCGTATAAAATCAACCTACGACTTATTAGAACTTTAAATCCTTACTTAAATTCTCTCTCCTTTACTTTAATTAAACTCAAACTAGGTAGAGCATGTAACTAAATATTTACATGCCATAGCTAAAAGACTGACAGTCTAAATGACTGCCTCGGTACTGCAGTGGTATCATATGCGACAACTGTGCTGAGGTTTGGATCAATACCCTGGTTTGACCAAAGGTTTGTATGATCTACACATATTTGTTTCGGAGTTTCTGTGTTTAATATGTATAATATATAAGTATCTACAAAAAAAAAGTATATAAGTATTCTATTCAATCTAGCTTTCATAGTACAAGCTCTGCTTAGTTTGAAACTAGATGGCGTTGTGTATCAATGTCCGAAAATATTATTATTATAAATGTTATTATTGTTTGAATTGACTTAATGAATTTAACAGTAATTTTAATTTTATTAAATTTATTTATTTATTTTACTTCTAATTTTTGTGATAATAATTTCTGATTCCAAATTTTATGTTTGACTCTAAATGCAGGCTGTGATCTTCTGTAATTAAGGATACACCAGATAAGGATAGACCAATAATTTATTACTCTCTGTGATATTCTAGTTGAAGATCCTTAAATAAAGAAATAATTACACCTAATTAGTGACTGATTTACAGATGGAGAGTCATACTTTGGCACAAATGGGCCTGCTTGACGGGAGAGATGAATGTTTCACAGCAAATCGATTTAATAACATCTTAGAAACAGTGATCTCGCAGTAATTCTTTTGTTTCTTTCCATCGAAAGAGTGAGGTTACCAGAGCTCAAAACCTTTCTAATTTTGCGAACTGCTTTCTAAATCAAAAGAAAAATCGACACAGAACATATGATGAAATATGTCTGATTTAGCAGTCAAGATCATTGATCTAAATTTGACTGGCCTGGTGATAACCAGATCAACTTAATTATTGGAAGGATATCTTAATTATAAACACTTACTTATCCATAATGGCTTCTAGTTTTCCATACAAATCTCGCCTATATTTCCTCTGCTGCATGTGTTGTTGTCTGAATATTTTACGTTTATATATATGATAATATGCGGCGGTCTCAGTACTATTTGGTAATTCGTATGCTATCGCCCAGTTTAGTCCAAAAGTAAAGGTTCCAGGGCTTGTAGAAGGAGCTGGCTGCCCGATTACACCAACTGTCATACAACCGGCTACCTGAAAGTGGATAGCAAAAAAACTATTAACTCAAAAGTTTTATAAGATATTTGCTAAGCTATGACGAAGAAATATCTTAAAATGACTTTTCGCTAAAACACAAAGATTTGTTGGCTAAAATGTCTGTTTGTTAGGTTGCACAGTTTTCATGCATACATATGTATTTTAATATATGATAAGATAAGGTAAGATATAAATATAGTGTAAAATTTAATATTAGTAGAGGAGCAAGATCCTCAACATAAAAATCTCCTTAATAATTAATTAAAAATAGTTGAAAAAAAAATCAAAAATCACGATTTTGTGACTAGGTGAAGTAGAGTAGAAAATAATTTTCTGTAAGTTCAAAAAGAAAAATAAATATAATAATTTTATTGTAAAATCATAATCATTTTATCATGAAATAGGGTGTTTTTCAGGATATTTCACAATATAAATATTTTCAACAAAATATTTACAACAATTGAATTCTAGCACCCACATGAAGCCAATTAAAGCGTGTTTAAATGAATTTATATTCATTATAAAATAAATAAAATGATGAATTTCCATCATTCATATTTATTATATCATTTTATTTATATTAAACATGAAATTATGTATTTTTTCAGATTTAAAATTTACGTTAAGACATTATATGCTATGTTGAAGCTACAAATAAATACTATTATTATTATTCAAAAATTTCGAAGTCACAGATTAACTTTGGTGTCGAAAATATTACGACATTAAAAAAACTTACCGAAAAACTAGATCCTTCCGGAAAAGCGACATATCTCTTATTTCTTGATAAAACTCTTGATTTCAAATCGTCATTGATTGTTTCTAATAAAACACTAAATTTTAAACAAGTTAAGAATATTACAATGAACAAATTCAGACGGTGCATTTTTCGTCAAAAACAATGTTTCACAACCAGTTTCTGGGCAAGACAAAGGAGAAATTCAGTACACATTAACCTAAGAGAGTCAACTTGTGTACTAACGGTCACCTATTAACAAGTTTTTCACAGAAACATATATCACAAAAATCGTTCAAATTGCTCTCAATTAGAGTCTTTGTTTTGGAGACTAGGGTCACATTACATTGACCCAGTTCTTTAAACTATTAAGGCATGAAAGTAGCATACAATCCACCTAACAGTTGCAGGCACATATACTGTAACTGTGTTAAATGTTTCCAATAAAATATTATCTCAGTGTTTTAGATTAACCGTTTGTAACAATCTTTAAAAGTTGTAGTTAAATAACTAAACACTAAAGTTCTCTGCCTACAATGAATGAGTCTTTGATGTTACGTCGATTTGTCTTCGACGACCCACTAACTGCTAATCCGCGAGGTTACAAGTGAGCTCTGTTTATTACCTAGACGATCTTAGACACAGATAGATATCACCTCTTTGTTAAAAGCTATACTGTAAATAAAAGATTTACGACTCGTTTAATAGCTTTTAAACGAGCCATCCCCGTTAGGCGCTCATGAGCGCATATTTGCCGAGAATCGCATCCTCTATACAATGACATTCTCGCATAATCATAATCTCGCAGGTTTCAAACCTCTTCTTAAAAATTTAATATAGTTAATAAAATTGCATAATGAGACTTTTATAGGTATAAGTACTTATAATAATTTAAATACTAAAAACAATAACCGACTACAGAACCTGAGAACACAGCTATTTATAAAACGAATTGGACGAGAAATTATGTTTGTGTTTGGAAAGGTAAACTTTCCGTTTAATCCCATTGAATGAAGAATACAGTCCACACTAAAGTCGGTGATACTTTTTTAAAAGGTATGCTAAAATTTACTTACAAATTCCTCCAATAATGAAGTAGATTGGCTAACAATCCAACTAGTTAATGTTTTTTTTTTAAGTAAATATTTATTTTCCAAAGTTACAACAAATACATACATGAAAGTAGTTATACAAAACTAGTTAATGTTAGGTAATGTTGATGATGAAGTCATGTACTATGTATCAAACCAACTATAAAATGCATGCTTTAAACTACATTTGCTATGCAAATTCAAGCATACTTCTCGTATAATAAGTTCAGATCACACAGTATGCATATTGGCGTTAGGGTAAAAAAACTCAACATGACGGATCGCAGACATTCCATTAGACGCGTTACACACGAGGGGGATATGTGAGCACCATTACCCTAAATCCGTTTGTATACAAATCATGTCTGTATTACTTTTGGGGAAAAATCGATTCAATGGCCATGATGTAGTGGGCTTGGTTTGCTAGTAAAGTCAAAATATTTGTTGGGAATGTCCGTGACTTTTTGTGGAAAATAATAATTTAGTTAAATGTGTTATTCAGATGAAATCATAATAAAAAACAGTTGTATTAAGTACTATTCTGTAGACTGATTTAAAGTAATTGATGAAGAATATTAGCTCACAGCTACATTTAGTTAATACAAATTAAGCGTTGATCATGATAAAATTTATACTAATATAGTTTAATTCCTGAACAATTTATAGATTACTGAACATCATGCTATGGTTTATAGGAGCATAGCAGTGATAATTAAAGCGGATAAAACTGTAAGTAGTGGCCAGGTTTACCATATTTATTCAGGTTATGCCTTCATTTACGAAGAAAATAGGTAAGTAACGCTTAGATTAAGTTTGTTGCAAAATTCAGCTATACTATCATAGCTTTACAAAAGTATTAGCAATCAAGGAAGTCATACATAAGGAAAAACTGATTGAGGTTAAAACTGTCCACTTTGGTCATAGGTACGACGTGTTATAAGAATTGTGACGTGACGAAAAGTCAGATTGACGTTCTTACTGATACTATTAGATTGAAACAAAAAAAACCTATTTCAAAGTCGAATGCAATTGAATGTAATGGCATTTTGGAGGAACGGGTGTCATGTCCCTCCAACACAAAGGGAGGATCCTCCGACCAGGCGAGGTGATCATGCCTGGCGGGCCGCGGCCCAACGGTTAATGTTGGGAAGTTGTATATATGCTAATCGGCGAGGGAATTCTTTATATCGCGATACAGGATTAGCAATTCTTATTTTAGTAGTTACTCCGTAGTTCGGTGTGTCTTCATTAGATGGCGCTGTGGTATGTTTCTGTTTCTTTGTATGTGGGAGTCGCCACATCACTCCCCTCCAAGACCGGAGGTCGATATATGATGAGTCAGCTGCCTATGCTCTGTTGTGGAGCGTGCCAGTGCCAGTAATGAGTAGTTCCCGTAAGTTGGAACTGAGTGCCGCTAGTTCCACTGGGTCAGAACTGAGTGCCGCTAGCCCCAGTGAGTCGGGGCTGAAGTCTGCTGATCCCAGTGAGTCGGGATGGCGTGCGGTGCGCGGTGCTGCGGTGAAGACCCCAGTGAGTCGGGGCGGTTGCTGCGTATTGGCTGGCTGCTGCGTAGACGGGAGAGAAAATGCTCTTCTTACGTGGACCGTAGGTGTAGTGTGCTGTGCCTAGACGCTGATGAGGCCGTAGAGATAACCAGACTGGAGCGGTCGCTACCTGCGTGTGGTATCCCTGTAGAGGCCGAGATTGCTGGCTGGCTGAGACTTGATTACTGCTCATCGCTGTGGGAGTGTACACGATGGTGCTGCTGATGATCTGCTCCTTTTGAAGGCTGCTTCCAATCACGTCGGGGTCACAACTGTGGAGGAACGGGTGCCATGTCCCTCCAACACAAAGGGAGGATCCTCCGACCAGGCGAGGTGATCATGCCTGGCGGGCCGCGGCCCAACGGTTGATGTTGGGAAGTTGTATATATGCTAATCGGCGAGGGAATTCTTTATATCGCGATACAGGATTAGCAATTCTTATTTTAGTAGTTACTCCGTAGTTCGGTGTGTCTTCATTAGATGGCGCTGTGGTATGTTTCTGTTTCTTTGTATGTGGGAGTCGCCACATCACTCCCCTCCAAGACCGGAGGTCGATATATGATGAGTCAGCTGCCTATGCTCTGTTGTGGAGCGTGCCAGTGCCAGTAATGAGTAGTTCCCGTAAGTTGGAACTGAGTGCCGCTAGTTCCACTGGGTCAGAACTGAGTGCCGCTAGCCCCAGTGAGTCGGGGCTGAAGTCTGCTGATCCCAGTGAGTCGGGATGGCGTGCGGTGCGCGGTGCTGCGGTGAAGACCCCAGTGAGTCGGGGCGGTTGCTGCGTATTGGCTGGCTGCTGCGTAGACGGGAGAGAAAATGCTCTTCTTACGTGGACCGTAGGTGTAGTGTGCTGTGCCTAGACGCTGATGAGGCCGTAGAGATAACCAGACTGGAGCGGTCGCTACCTGCGTGTGGTATCCCTGTAGAGGCCGAGATTGCTGGCTGGCTGAGACTTGATTACTGCTCATCGCTGTGGGAGTGTACACGATGGTGCTGCTGATGATCTGCTCCTTTTGAAGGCTGCTTCCAATCACGTCGGGGTCACAACTGTGGAGGAACGGGTGCCATGTCCCTCCAACACAAAGGGAGGATCCTCCGACCAGGCGAGGTGATCATGCCTGGCGGGCCGCGGCCCAACGGTTGATGTTGGGAAGTTGTATATATGCTAATCGGCGAGGGAATTCTTTATATCGCGATACAGGATTAGCAATTCTTATTTTAGTAGTTACTCCGTAGTTCGGTGTGTCTTCATTAGATGGCGCTGTGGTATGTTTCTGTTTCTTTGTATGTGGGAGTCGCCACATCACTCCCCTCCAAGACCGGAGGTCGATATATGATGAGTCAGCTGCCTATGCTCTGTTGTGGAGCGTGCCAGTGCCAGTAATGAGTAGTTCCCGTAAGTTGGAACTGAGTGCCGCTAGTTCCACTGGGTCAGAACTGAGTGCCGCTAGCCCCAGTGAGTCGGGGCTGAAGTCTGCTGATCCCAGTGAGTCGGGATGGCGTGCGGTGCGCGGTGCTGCGGTGAAGACCCCAGTGAGTCGGGGCGGTTGCTGCGTATTGGCTGGCTGCTGCGTAGACGGGAGAGAAAATGCTCTTCTTACGTGGACCGTAGGTGTAGTGTGCTGTGCCTAGACGCTGATGAGGCCGTAGAGATAACCAGACTGGAGCGGTCGCTACCTGCGTGTGGTATCCCTGTAGAGGCCGAGATTGCTGGCTGGCTGAGACTTGATTACTGCTCATCGCTGTGGGAGTGTACACGATGGTGCTGCTGATGATCTGCTCCTTTTGAAGGCTGCTTCCAATCACGTCGGGGTCACAACTGTGGAGGAACGGGTGCCATGTCCCTCCAACACAAAGGGAGGATCCTCCGACCAGGCGAGGTGATCATGCCTGGCGGGCCGCGGCCCAACGGTTGATGTTGGGAAGTTGTATATATGCTAATCGGCGAGGGAATTCTTTATATCGCGATACAGGATTAGCAATTCTTATTTTAGTAGTTACTCCGTAGTTCGGTGTGTCTTCATTAGATGGCGCTGTAGTATGTTTCTGTTTCTTTGTATGTGGGGGTCGCCACAGCTTTAAATACATAAGTGGGATATATATTACGTCACCCTACCAAAAGAGACACAATGCAACTTGATGAAACCAAGCTATGAAAATTGTTTTCACATGGGAGTAGTAACTTCTGTCACAAGAGTATATATTCAAAATAAGGTTACACTTAACAGATAAGACGACATTAATTTTAAAACACATAACATTTTTAACCGGTTTTGAAAAGGAACGGATTTTCAATTCCACTTATTTTTTTTGTAATTCGAAATAGCCATTTGTTTTTCAATTTGATTATTTTTAAATTAAATTTGTTGTCGATATTCTACCTCGATGGGTGGAAAAGTCGATGATACTTCGTATTGAAGTCGGTGATATATTTTTTAAATTTATTGAAATCCTGTTAAAGTGAACATTGTAATTATTAGTAGTTGTGAAAACATGTTCATTAATTTATTCACTTTAAATAATGAACAATAAGGAGCCTTTTGAAATTGGTAGTGAGAGTGTGTGCAAATTTTTATTCTTATTTTATAATCTCTAATTTACAATCTCTTTTTATTGACTCTTCAATTTTATGATCTTTCTGGAAGACGTAAAAGGTAATATTACCGATAATTAAGTAGTATAAATTATAATCAAGCAGGTCACTATTAAAACTGTAATGACCTTAATTATTATCAGTTAATGCTCCAGAGGAAAGTTGAGTTAGTCATTCACAATTTATTGAACCATAATGTCCGGCATTATGATGAATTGTAATTAACTAAATTCCTCATTCCTTAGTTTTCATACTCGAGTTTTTTTTTCCTGAATTAAAAGGGACCAAACGCAAAAAAATATCGTAAAAATATCAAAAAATCAGTTTACAAATAACGGTTTTCTGATGTTAAAACATAAAAAAAAAAAATTGAGAGCGTCATCCTTTTTTTGAAGTCAGTTAAAAAGTAAATGTAGGATACCTAACTAACATATGCAAATAATATTACGTATAAAATCCATAAAGATCTTAAAACTAGATTGTCCCTTCCTTCTTGGTTTACGCTAAAAAGATTTATGAAAACATTCATCACGCCAACTTGACCTCCCCTTCTTTAAGGCTGACGAACAATACTGATGGCCCTGACTTATGACCATCATTTGCCCCACAAATATAAGGAAGCATGAGGAATTGATTAATTCTATGAAAGTATTTTGTGTGTCAACTATTTCTTACATGATATTTTGATGGATAGTGGAGTGATGAGTGAAAGTTTACTTTTACAAGATAATGATAGCATCACAAATTATTTAATGCAACTATGTTACGCTAAAACGTATAGTTTTTGCCAGTATCACATCCATATTTCCATACTTACATTATAGTTTTATTACTGACTTGACTTGACTGCACGGATGGCGGAGTGGTTTAAGCGGTCGCCACGCCGCTTCCTACTACGCCGAGTGTTGTGGGTTCAAACTCCACATGAAACGACACTTTGTGTGATCCACAAATTGTTATTCTGAGTCTGGGTGTTCTTTGTGTCCGTTTCATGTATGTTTGTAAAGTCCCCCGCGACACAGGATATATATATTCCTAATGCGGGAGTTGTCATTTTTATAAAAAAAAAAATAATAATAATATATATTTTAAATATGAAAGTAAGTTAGTTTGATACGCTTTCACGCTTATACCACTAACACGATTTAAAATTCTTTGTATAATGGTAAACTACATTCCCGGCGAGCAACATAGGGTTCTATTTACCGTGATAAAGGGTTTTTGTAAGTCAATCCAATAGCAGGTAGCCAATCTGATACCGAACCCACTTTGATGATACAAAGAAAGAAGATAAATTGATGTAAAGATACGGGTAGGACGTGAAAGCTAGGATAAATGATAATTCAAGTCTCCAGTGAGGAAACTGATATCATTATCATCAACAGAATTTAATAGTTCACTGCTGGACATCTTGGACTCTTCTTGGAAAGGAGGTCTTTGCCTACTATAAAATGCTGGACAGACGTGCTGGTTATAGGGTTTGTGTCAAGTTTTGCTTCTGTTTGCAATGCTTTTGTCCTGCGTAGTTTGCTCCCTTAGTCGGCTCTTACGACACCCACGAGATGTATAGGGGTGGTGACACCCTTTATTCTTTATCCACCACACGGAGAAAACTGTATTGCGACCTTTTGTATGGTAAAGAACCTTAACTTGAAAATAATTTGATATCTTTATTTTCAAAATATAGCGATGTAAATACAGTATTTTTTGCTCCATGGCATTTAGTTAGGCGTGGCAACGTGCCAGCGACACAGGTGGTGTTAGTAATATTTATTGGTTTTGGTAACCGAAGAATATGAAGGTAAATACATTTTTTTACTTAGGTTCAACTTCATCATCACCAGCTTACCAGGTTTATTTAGAGGTGGGTAAACGAACCGACTAGAAGCATATGGTTTTCTTTCACTTGTTCCTATTGTAAGAAACTTGGATCCTCTAGGAACGATGTCTTTGATAAACTTTAGAAACTTTTCACTGGCCTGTTGGTCTAGTGGCTAGTGACTCTGACTGCGAAGCTGGAGGCGGTGGGCTCAATTATTACAATACACAAAATGCAATAACAATCATTTGTTCTGTATCTGAGTGTAATTTATCTATAATGTATGAACATATTTAGAAATATATAAGTCTATCAGGAGTCTGTTCAACATAGGCCAAGGTCTGACTAGTTCAGGTCAGACAGATAGTCGTGTTTAAAACTTGTGAAGTTGTTTTAAATGGTGCAGATTTTAAGAAAATTAAAAAAATATATCATTAATTAAGTAATCAATTTATTAGTTCACTCACGGCTTGTCAACACATACATGTAACGAAAAAAATTACGAATCGAATTTGCTGTGATATTTATTCGTGAGCTAATTATATATTTTTACATAACATATATATAACGTATAACGCGTTGTGTACTGATTTAAGCGAGACCGATCAATTTAATACTAAAGAAGAATAATAAAAAGTCAATTATAACATACAGGGTGTTACATGATGGATATTTAATGCAAATAGGCGTCAGTGTCGCAAATATGATCGATCCTAATGGATGTCCCGTTTCCAAGGGTACAAACCTTCGTATGGCGCAAAGCAATAGATCAAGGACTAAATTTAAGCGTAAATGCAGGTTATTTGATCGCCTACATAGGAGGATAACGCTTTGACCACTAATCGCACTATCACAATTAATTCTATGTTAACTGTTATGTACTACAATGATTGATGACATGTGACTTTTGAAGGACTTGTGGCTAAGTGGTAATCGAGTTGCAAAGTTAAGCAATTCTATCCAGGTCGGTCTATATATGGGTGACCATTTCATAACACATTGAGACCCCTCTGTGCCTCGGAAAGCACGTTACGTTATCCATCGGTCCCGGCTGCCATACCCGCGTAAAAAAAGTTCAGCCGTGATTAAATATGATTTTTGATATGTAACGTCGCGGAGGACTTTAAAGCATACATGTAACGAACACAAAGAACGCCCAGAACATCAATTTGTGAATCACACAAAGTGTTGTCCCATGTGGGGATCGAATGGGGTATTGTACTGCCAAACCACCACCAAAACCAGTAATAATTATTGGTTTTGGTGACCGTTATCCTCAGATGTCTAAAGAATAAGGAGATATTTACGTTTTTTTCGGCTTTGGATCTCCTTATCGTCATCAGTTGACTAGCAAGGCTGACCAGAGCTACGTAAACAATATACTTCAAACATTTTTAAATTGGAGGATTTTTTCAGAAACATCTTTAATATGTGTAATAGTAATCCTGGAATCTTCTTACTTGAACCAAGTAATCAATTTAACTATATAAATTTCATAACGTTGTATTTGAGGTTACAATAAAATGGTAATTTATTTTCAGGACGAACATAACTTTATACATTTTTACATAAATAATTGATTGATTGATTTATTAAATATATTAAAGGCACTTCCTTTTTTTAGTATAAAACCTTTTCATTGTGAGTAACTCTCAGTCGAATAATAATAATATACCATCATGCATTTATCAGCAGCATTGTGATCAATTCATTTCTAGTGCTTTAAATACTTTCAGCTTATTGTCTTATTCTTATTTTAAAAAGACAACTCCCGCATTAGGAATATATCATGTGTCGCGAGGGACTTTACAAACATACATGAAACGGACACAAAGAACACCCAGACTCAGAACAACAATTTGTGGATTACACAAAGTGTCGTCCCATGTGGGGATCGAACCCACAATACTCAGTTTAGCTAGAAGAGAAGAAACTCTATTTTTTCTTCTGCTTTCCATATCACCTCATGTAATATTTTTTCTTAAAAAACCAACCTAGACGAGTTATAAGAAGTGTAATGATAACCATGGTCATTACTTCTTTACTTTTTATATATATATATATATATATATATAAAAAGTAAAGAAGTATATATATATATATATATATATATATATATATATGATTATATATATATATGATACGACAAAATGATTTTTCTTTTTGAACTTATAGAAAATTATTTTATACTTTTTAGTTCGGCTAGTAGCTAGTTAGCTTTCTTTTCAAACTATAATTTATTTTTCCTTTTTTAAGACTAAAAAATTAACAGTTACTAAGTAACAGTTAGTAAGTTGATCACAGACATGTTGCAGCACACACCTTACACTACCGTATTTTTAGGTATGGAAAAAGCCGTTAATCCTGAAGGTCCTGATCAAGATAGTTGGACAAACTATTTAAATTATTACATTGTCATCGGTCCTTGATAAGTGTGCAAAGTTTCAATTTAATTCGTTTTAAACAAAACTACGTTTCAAGATTCCGATACATACATTGATATTTACATCCATACCTAATAAAATCGTGTTAAAAACGAGACACATAAACAACAGAGATGAGATGACGCTGATGACTTAAGTGGAAGGTCATTAGAGTCATATAAATAGGTACATTTTTGTCCATGTTGCAAGGCCTCATATAGACCAGTACAAAATTGTAGCCTTAACCACCAAGAATCTGGCATAACTAAGTATAGATTCTTTTATACCTTTTCATAATACAAGCTCTTAGTTTGAAACTAGATGGCGTTGTGTCAGATGTCCGAATGTCCGAATATATTATATTACCTTTATTGGTATAATTTTAAAGATTTAAAATGGTTAACAGAAAGAAGTATGCTATTGAAACTTCAAAAAGTAAAAGTTTTTTATTGTGATTCAATCTTAAACTATCTTATCTCTCTGTTTATTTAGACTTAGTATTAAACCGAAGATGGAGAACGGACAATCGTTAGGTTTCTCGCAAAAATCCGAATCTAATAACTCATTGTAAGTATCTCCTATTTCTTCTACGAATTTCTCGTCATGTAGAGGAGCCCTGAAATAAAATAAAAAGTATATTGAGACACTTCATCCCATTCTTAACTAAACAGCTAACAATTGGTAATTATCTCGAATATTTGAAATGTTGTTAATGTAGACCTCCAAAAAAATGGTTTTAATTGCACGGATGGCGTAGTGGTTTAAGCGGTCGCCACGCCGCTCACTACTACGCTGAGTGTTGTGGGTCCGATCCCCACATGGGAAGACACTTTGTGTGATCAACAAACTGTTGTTCTGAGTCTGGGTGTTCTTTGTATCCGTTTTATGTATGTTTGTACAGTCCACCACGACACAGGATATATTCCTAATGAGGGAGTTGACTTTTTTTAAAAACAAAAACAACTTCTCATCATTTTAAAACTGATAATACTTAAAAGAAACACTGCCAGGGTATTTGATTGCAATTTATTCTATTATTTTAGGTTAGTACACCATGAAGGAGGTAAGCCCACTTGCTAAAGAGGTTAACAGGTTAAATGAATCTATTATTACTTGGAACTTTTTTTTTTATTTTTTTTTTATTGTAATTCACAAAACTGATGTACAATCTCACGCACATATATACATTATGATAAAATGTTACAATATTCTTCCGATTGACATCTACTAGATGTGAATCTTACATGCATTAAAACTAAAGCTAAAAAAGGTAGTTGGTAGATAAAAGACATATCTACTACTTAATATTTAAAATTATACAACATTAAAATTATAATACTAAATCATTCGATCAACTTTCTTAGTTTGGACCTGACTGAAACCACAGAACCAGCAAAAATATCCAGTCCGTTACGGAGGGAGTTGACGACACAACCTATGTTGGTGCGGTAGTGGGGTACAACAAACGTAGATCTGTTGACTAAACGACTACCAACTCGAGGAATGCAATGCATTATTGTTGACATTCACCTGTTGCCAATCTTATTTACCTACCATGTGTCAGTGTCACATATGAAACTATACGAGTATGTTCGGTGGTCCATTATCAATTGTATGTGTACTATGTAGTGTGTGTATTCTCTACTGTAGTGATTTCAATCGAAGTTGAAATCTTGCTCACAATGTTTTTAACCTACATTTTCTCCTTAACTGTTCAAAGTTAAAGTATGATGCCGATATAAAGACTATTCTAATCGATATTAAATTACTAGCGTGTAAAAATTTAACTGATAAATTATTTGAACTAAAACACAAGGATGTGAGATTTGTTAGTTCTTTGTAAGCGCACAAAACTTTAGACTTTAAAGAAACATCTAGCTACAAAGGGAAATAAATCGGGCAGCGTGCAGTCCACAGCTGCGCTCCCAACAAGCTAGTAACGATAGAATAATCGCCTATAAACTATTCATGGCCCGCATTATGAACAGATGGTGATACGCCTTACTGTGCTGTTCCTTTTATTATTTAATTTTGTTGTCGAGAAAAACACATTTGAATAGCTTGCCGTATTTTTAAAAGATTATGTTAAAAAGAGTATATTAAACGCAAAAGCTGTTTTTCTTTGAAGTTAAATTACTAGTACTGTATTGTGTAATTAAATACATATATATATATTTAAATTTTAAATACCGTGAAGACCAAAGTTATACCTTTTTTCTATTTTGGCTTATCTTAAATGTTATAATTGAAACTACGTTTGAGCTGTGGAAATAACCTCAAGCGTAGTGTTTTTAATATTTCTCCTTTAAAAATCAAAATCCGCTAGTTTTTGGTGCGAAGTTTTCCTATATATTTCCAAATGGCTATATAATAATCACTCGACCTATACAGTGTAAATTATCAGCTGTACTGGCTAACAACACAGTGCGACTTTTAAAGTAGGTTTAAGTACAGCTTCCAAAAGATGAGAGATGAGATTTCACTTATTGCTGGAAATGTTATTTGATTACGTACATTTCAATTTTTCATTTGATGTATCTGGGACTTAGCTCATTAAGTCAGAAAAAGATCTCGTTATCTTCTTGACTTCTGTAAAAAAAAAATATTCTAATAGAATGTACATAACGTTGTTATGACAATGAATTAAATAATATTCTATAAAAAATTTCTTCTTTGTACCTCCAACGGTTACTTCCTCACATAATTTTATGGCCAAATCCACACAAATACCTTCTTGCCTCTGAAACTGGCCAGCACTTTCAATAGCTTCTTGAGACATAAGGAGAATAAATAGTACGATAACATAGTTTCTACTAAAGAAACAAAAAAAAAAACTCCCGGTATAAATTCTGTGTTGTGGAGGACTTTACAAACAGACATGAGACGGACACAAAGGACACCCAGACTCGGAACAACGATTTGTGGATCACACAAAGTTTTGTCCCATGCGGGGATCGAACCCACAACACTCAGCGCAGTAGGAAGCGCCAAGGTGCCCGGTTAAACCACTACGCCATACGGTCAGTCAATTATACCAAGTGTTATAATTTCTGGTATATTTGTTACATATTTTCTAAGAAGAAAGACCACCGAAATAGAAGCAAAATAGCTATAATATTTAATATTATAAGTAACATTTTTAATATCTTAGATAAGCACAATAAATTTCCAACGTAGCGGGACCTGGTGCCTCGGGAGAATAGGTGTTTTTATGATACATTACCTGCTGCCATTTCGTTTAACAATATTATAAAAGTTTAATCGTATTATTTACAAGTATTATTTTATGAACAGTGATTGAATTAGAATATATATTAAATATGTAAATTGGAATTTAATAAACGATAAATGTTACAAATTAAAAGTAAATAACGTGTTGGTAGCCGTATGGAAGGACTTGATAAAGAGAAGTATGCTGTCCTATAGATATCAATTAATTATCTCCTAACAACTGGTCAATGTGGATCTGGATCCATGGTAGCATGGTATCAGGTATTGTGGTGACTGACTCGAAAGGAGTGATATGTATGAGTATTTCTTTTGCTACTTATCACAGAGAGAATAAGATTACCGGAGACACTCTCTTACCCCCGGTTCTAGCTTTGGATCAAGCTCTCGAAAGTGCTTTCCGAAGTACTCAAACCTAAGCTAAACTAAATTGCTTGGGTCCGAGTGGGTTCACGTCGGTAGTGTACTGGTCAGGATTCGAACCCACAACCTCTTGATCGCAAGTATAATGCCTTAACCACTAGCCTACCGCCGCTTTAATTAAGTGGTATAGTAGCCCAATGCATTTGATCACCAAAGAGTGAAGCCAAGCTAAACATGATACCTATATTATGTTCGACCCTGGGCTGCGAATATCATCGGCGTAACAAATGATGCCAAGCTCGAGAGAGAGGGCCATAAAGATCTTATCGCAACCTAAACATTGTTCATGGCTCTATGGATATTTAACAAGAATACTACATATGTTGGTGAATGGTAATCCTACATATCATGGTTATTTGAAGTTTTCAAAACCAAAAAGACTTACAGTAACTGTAGACAAATTTTCTATATACATCGCCGCAAATCTTAGTAAAAAAAACCTACAGTGATAAAACCCTTATCGTAAGATCACACCATTCTCATTAGCGTGGCGCAAAGAGTTTGGCAAAACTAGCAAATGACGTCACATACTAATTTTTCCTTCTAACAAGACTTATAAAGTTTATAAAGAATTTGACAAAACTTGAGGAGAATGGAGTCAAAAATCCTACGTAATCCATCGCACGCTATTAGTACAAAACTACATAAACTATTAGTACAAAAGTCTCAATAGATCACCATGCAGCTTTTAGTTTCATCTAAAGTTCTGTAAGTAATCCCACCTTTTCGTAGTACGATGGAGTATTATGACGTAATCCTGTCGCGTATAAATGTCACGTACGTGGATTATAAGGCAATTAGAGGAATACGAAATTCGCCAATGACGCGGGTTATCTTATAGCAATTATTATTATCTATGAGTTTAAATAATGTTGTAATATTTAAAGGAAGTTTACATAATATTATCAGAGAAGGTGGGGGGAGGGATGGTTCTGCAATTGATGTATGAATGGATTGGAAAGTAAAATAAATAATTAATGCCAATAGCGTTCTCTCAAATTTGAATATCCATACTAATTTTACCTAACTATTTTTTAACCAACAAAAATTTAGTAAAGAGATAGTTAAAGTCGCGGGAAAGGACATAGGATAGTTTTTATCCCAGGAATCACCGTTCAATTGGGTGAAAACGGGGGCGGAAGTTTGTATGGGAAAGCAATAACCGTTGAACCGATTTTGATTAAATTTGGCACAGAGACACTTTGATTCTTGAGGAAGGTCATAGACTGAATTTTTACTGCGATAACCGATATACACAAGAGTAGAGCCGGGGGCAAAAGGTAGTATGTAATATATGTGTGCTGATATTAAATTTTTCTAGTAGTTTTTTTTTTATAAAGAAGACAAGTCTTGCATTAGGAATGTATCCTGCATCGCGGGAGATTTTACAAACATACATGAAATGGACACCAAGAACACCCAGACTGAGAACAACAATTTGTGGATCACACAAAGTTTTGTCACGTGTGGGGATCAAACCCACAACACTCAGCGTAGAAGGAAGCGGCGTGGCGACCGCTTAAACCACTACGCCATCCGTGCAGTCATGTGGTTGGCAAAAAGGTTGTCATATCGTGATACTCGTAGTTTACGAAAACTTTATGTAAATCTTGATGGTTTGATAAATACATTATGAAATTAACCTCACTTGTACTTTGATAAATAACAAAGTACTCATTCTTGATGCGATTATATGTATGTTAGAGAGAGGTTTCATATGCCTATTTTTAACCACTAGAGTGTTAACATTCCTGATCAGTTTCACATAAATTGCCGTACCCATAGTTAATATTAAGAAACTTAATATTATGCTACTTAGAAAACTAAAATTACTAAATTTTATTGTTTAATAATAATATAATAATATTCTAGCACATTGACACAACGCCATCTAGTCCCAAACTAAGCAGAGCTTATACTATGGGTACTACGAGTAGACAACTGATATAAATATGTACATGTATACTTTTTTTTTGTAAATACATACACATTACACATGGAAACGCCCAGACTAAATCAAACATTCAAATTCATGCAAACAAATGTGTGACTTGACCGGGTATCGAACCCTTTGGAATAGCAGTCCGTTACACAAACCACTACGCCATTCCAATAATAAGTTTTTAATACTTACGTAAATAAAGATCTCAAAATATCGTGTACAAGAGATTTTCCTTTCGGTGCAAGATGCATTTTAGCTTCACAAATAGACCTTAAAACGCATACACGGCCATTGATGTTCCGACTGAAACAAATGTTGTTAATAAAAGGAATTGTACAAAATAATTCATATTTTTTATTCAAACTTACATAGACTTACACAGGCATCTCAAATAAACAGGAAAAACATAAATATCTAATCCACACACAGCTTACTGGTATGTGGTGTTTCATTTCTGAGAACTCAATTTGTAATTTAGTTTATAAGTGTTTGGTTTTTAATTCTGAATTCTTGTCTGATATGTATAAATATGTTTTTCCATTTGTTAATTTGATAATTAAAAAAATAAAGAATGTCACAATGATCGTTAATACGAGTATAAAACTAATCTGGTTTTCTAACAAACAAAAAAATTGAAATTTGATTAATTTTTTGCATGATGTGGGCGCCTGTTATTAAGGAAGCACGTAATGTTTATTCCTTGTTGGTGATCCCAATTAAATAAAAAGAAAAAATCAAAATTTCTGTCCATGTGGTGACAGATTAAGAAGTGTGTGGGTGTGGGTGTCGTAAGAGCTGACTATGGGAACAAATTCTGTAACCAACTCTGTAACAAACCCTATACTCGTACTTACCCCTCTGGCCAGACGGGTAGGTATAGGGTTTGTTCTAATGGTGGTATACTAGGTAGTGATGGTATAGGGGCTTGATATAGTAGGCCAAAACCTCCTTTCTACGAAGAGACCTATGTCCAGCAGTGGACTATAAAAAGATTTCAAGATTTGATGGTCAGATAATACGTTCCATAGACAGAACACACTAAACCTACCTGTCGAAAGCACTTTGCAATAGATCCCACGCCTCTTTCTTCTGGCGATGATGCAGTTTTCTTCTTTTACTGGCAGCTATAAATTCCGCATCTGGAAGTTTGTAGACCAGCTCGGCTTCAACGACAAGAAACCAGCCTGAAGGGACATGTGTCATGAAGGTTTTTGTCGCTGATGTGGTTACCTATAGGACGGACAAATGTATCATAAATATATATTTTGAAATAATATAAGATAACAAGCTCACACACAGCTTTAAATTATTATATCCTCTCGCCAGAGCCGAGAACAGGCCAGGTACCGCAGAAGGCTCAGGCACCGGAGGTCGCAGAACGACCTCCGCCCTCCATAAGCGCAGGCCTGAGGGTAACAGGTGAGGCCATCTGTCACTCTAGCAGAAGCAGGCCGAGGTGGGTGGTGGCGCGACGCGCTACGAAACGCGCACGGCCTTCGGGGGCAGGAAGGGACCATCCATACATACATCCCCGGCTACTAATACTACTGGAGACGGCGTGCGGTTTTTGGTCGGTTTGAGTCCGACATAATCACCCACTGGTGGATGGTATCCGAGGGAAGTTCCGCATATCCTTCACACTATCAAGGAATTTTAAGAAATTCTACCACACTCTTCGCAAGACAGGGCATTAAATACTATGTTCATTGGATGCCACTCCCTCATTCATGCATAGCGTTTCTATTGATTTATAAAAGTATGGCTCAAGAAATATAGCATATGCTTATCAATATATTTTTTCAAACTCTAAAGCAGAAATCATGTTATAGCCCGCGTCTCGGCAAACGTAGTGTATGACGCCCACAGGCCAGGCAGAGTGACGATCTGCCCAAGATGGCTGGCAGGAGCTGGATGCAAGAACCGAAAATCGATCTAAGTGGCGTGCAATGGGAGAGGCCTATGTCCAGCAGTGGACTGCGATAGGCTGATGATGATACTTGAATTGCTTATCGTAGCTCTACGATCAATTTACAACTTATAAGTTATTTGAGAGTTTCCTTTATGCCGTTCATCATGATTTGTATAAAACACGACTAGATAGATCGTTTAGTAATATGTAATAATAATTTTATTTAATATATCCTATGTTGAAAGCTTGGCTTACAAATAAATTCGATATTGAAGAACTTTAACTGCCAACTGAAGTTGTCAAAACAATGTTAAAACTTTGGAGTGCAAAAGGCAAGTTTTCGGGCGAAATGAACTCAAAGCAACTACTTAACTACAAAGTACGTAAGTGGGGACGGTTCGTTAGTCTCCAAGATTTGTTCGATGTTTAACTGTTTTAGTTCAATTGCTTATTTTAGGAGTAATTCTATTACTATGTCGTCTCGTGTTTTTATCATTAAACATAGTATTACTTGTATGCCTATAAATTAGTGATATATCGAAACAAAATATGTACTAGTGTACAAATCCATTACCGCCAGTTGAATAGTTTAATAATTCAAAAGAGGAAAAAGTAAATAGAACGAAAATAATGTTTTCTGTTATGATCATATCTGTTGATATACATTGGGGATTGTAAAATATTCCTTGAGAGTGTCAGGATCAACAGACTATAGGGAGAAGTTCGATCGTTTTATGTGCTCAAAAACTTAGGCAGTTTAAGCCTCCGTACAAAATACATTTATAATTTATTGTCAAAAAAACACCAATAGTAATAAAGGACATTATTTTACAATGATCAGGTTATAGAAAGGAAACTATAAATATCACCAAATATTGTAAAATACCATATAACACAATAGTTTCTAAAAACTAAATGTGCTTACGGATTCTATCTATCCGTTATTTTCTAAGGACCTACATTTCTAGGCCATTACATTTAGACTGAATTTTTTAGCAATGACACCTTTTTAGCTTATTATACTCAATTATCTTCAATTTCGCCTTTAACAGAATTACTTTTCCGAGTTAATGTAGAGTCAACACTTTTTTTTATTGACGAGGTGCAAAATCCCTTCGGATCTCCTGCTCCTCGGAGACTCAGGAGCCATGAGTATGTGGTGATTCTACTAAAAACCACCCCGACGTCCGACCTTTCTTCTCTACCGTAGCATTCAATCTGCCAGCAGAGGTCCCCACTCTCTGGCGGACCGCGGCCCCATCGGCGGCTGGTATCATCGCCGACGTCCTCTATGCTCGGGATCGGCCCTCTCCCGATCCCGTTTAGCGTTCAGAAATAGAACATTGCGCCCCATCCCACCTCACCAGCATGGCAGCAATGATTGCTGGCGGGGACAGGTCTCGTCCGATTTGGTCGACCAGGACTTCGCGGGCAGTCTTCCAGCCTGTGCTGGGCGGAGTCCCAGTCGGCTGCGCAGTGCAGGCATTGTGCCGTCTCCTCGAGTCTGGTCATAGACCCTTGCGTCCATATCCATTAGGATATCAAAGGGCGGGAAACCAGGACTGTCATCGCCTCCGACGAAATAGTGCGGTATCGCGGACCCCCCAGGTTAGGCAACAGCCTCTTTAGTCTAGGGTCTAGGGTGAGGCCAAGGTATTTAATGTGTTGGCCAACCTTGACCTCTGTTCCCCCCACTCTAATAAGTGAGCCGGTGGTAACTGCACCTCTGCGTTTCCTGTGGAACAACAAGCCTCCCGTCTTATGAGGTGCAGCCCTAAGTCCCAGACCACTGATGTTTTAGACGACAAAAGCCACCCCTGTATCGGCTAGCTCAATGACCTCCTGAAAGTTTTGTCTAATGGAAGGCAGATCCTCAGAACGGCATCACACGAGAGGTTCCACAGAAGGGGTCCTAAGATCGACCTCTGGGGAATCCCGCATGTGACTTCCCTTGACGTTCTTCGCCGCCGTAAATCCCGATGATGACTTGCAGGTAGGGGGGCAACTGATGATGCACCAGTGCCTCCCTACACTCAACGCTAAACGCGTTCGATCGCGTCCAGCGTCGAGTGTCTCTGTCGGAAGCCAAATTGGTTGTCTGATAAGTCGGGGCCCACTCGCGACAGGTTAACCAGAAATAAGACTGATTGATACGGGCGGCGATAACTCTTTCAAAGAGTTTCGCCACCTCGTCCAGCAGGCATATCGGTCGGAACGCTGAAGGAGAATCTGATGTAGAGTCAACCCTATCAACCCCATAAAGATCTTTAGACTTTAGAGGGCATCTCCAATCTCAGGACGAACTTATGGATACGCAACCCTGCTACTGCGAGCTGTTGTAGTCTTATACCCGGACCAGATCTTGAAGTACGCCTTATTAAACCATATATATGTTTCCTTGTCCCAAATTAACTATTTCAGTACTGGCATTTGACAACAATGACATTCGCAAGGAGAATTGAGTCGGGCAGGGGGTCAGTGATAAAATTTAGAATTGGACAAGAAGATGGTGACATCTACACATAAAAATAATTTATATATCTTCTTGGGAGGATGACTTGTACTACGTAGTAAGTAATGGTGTATCGAACAATGAAAGTTATCTCGATGATCAACATATTCACAACTTGCTAAAGTCAACTACTGGGCCTATGTACGTCACCAAATAACTTAGCCAAGCCGCAGGACTTACCGCTGGTTATAAAAGGACAATGTACTCCTTGCCCAGTGCAAAATTATTGGAAAGCATTTATGTTGCATACTCCAGGGGCCAACAGCTAAGGTAACAAAATGTAGCATAATCACCAAACCCGATTATTACATAAAATTTTATAGAGACTGTTTCTAAAGTGCTAGCCTGTTCCTGCAGTCGGTATTTTTGAGTGTATTGTAAACACGAAAATATCCAGCCTACGGGAGTGCTTCTTAAATAAAAGAGGAAGACGAATAATTGAATTTTATAAAAACTAAAATGAAATAAATTGCACCGTTGTTAGATTTTGTTAATTGATTAATTTTTTTAAAGGTTTAAATATGATTCTGTATGTAGTTCTGTATATACATATAAACAGAGTGCCTCAAACTAGCGCATTCACCTTTATCAATCTCTCCGAATATTAAAGAGAAATCCGTTTGGGGATAAAAAGATGGCCAAAGAGGCAATTTTAGGCAAATATAAACCCAAAGTAATAAATTTGACTTACTGAAACTGCAGATCCCGTAGGAAAGGCCAGGTGCCGTCTCTTTCTAACAGGAACCAATGAGGTTTTCAAGTTAGGACAGTTTCCGAAGTTTTTTAATTCCGAATTATAATAACACAAAACTGTTTGCATCGCTATCACCATCATTAGTAGAGCAGATTTTAAATTCATTGTTTTTACAAATCAATTTGTTTTGAAAATAAAATTCCTTATTAAATTTTAACTTAAAAGTCTATAATCTCAACTTATAAGTATGTAGTAACTAGTAGTTGACAAGTACTTCCGTACGTCTATATTTGTCGATAACTTATTTTTATTTTCTCTCACGCCTGTGGCGCAGGAAATAGCTCAAATGACGAAACAATTTTTTCGTTAGCTAAAGAGAGGTAAGTGCGTGGCACGATCAAGTCGTGAAATTTTGTGGTCCACATGTTGAAGTACCTGTGATTACATTATAAACATGATTTTTGATGAGTAATAAAGCTTTTAACCATGAGTTTTTTTATTAAATTTTTAAAATAAATTTGATTCTGCATATAATATACTAAGAAAAACTTCGGAATAAACCAGATTGTCTCAAGCAAGTCTCGTTCATGGACTGTCTGGACTGTCTTCATCAAAATCTTTTTTTCAAAGCATAATTAATTAAAAATAAAAGTAAACTTCTACTGGGGTAAGGCTGTACATACCTAGTATTTGATATCTTGAGTCTGTGAAAAATATTCGTATGTGATACTTAAAATTTATGTAAAAAAGAAGTGCGGATAATTTAACATTATTAATAATATATGTAAAATGTTCTAAAATTACGGCTACATTAACCTACACGCCTCCAATTTATATGTTGACTCATATCAACATATAAAAGTAATAGTTCAAGTAAATAAATGTGAAAGTGAGATTGTTTGTTTGTTACATTTTCACGCCAAAACCACTTACCTAATTATAAAATTCTTTCACGAATAAAAAGATACATTATCAACGAGTAACATAAGCTAATTTTTGCCGCAATAACCGATATACACGCGGGCGGAGCCGTGGGCGAAACTAAGTAATAAATAATTAATTTAATAAACAAGAAGTTCGACCTGATCGACATTCGACTGCCAGGCCATTTCCAGTATCTAGTAATTTACCAACAACTTTTTTTCTATTATTTTATAACTCCGTTGTTCTAATTATAAAGTTATTTTCCTAATTATGTATAAATTTGGAGTAACTTGAAATAGTTAGTTGGAGTAACTTAAAAGTTCGATTTACATTTTAGATTTTGAAATTTGGCTCAATTTTTACAATTATTTTTTACTGTAAGATGTGTACCTTATGCTTTAAACTACATATTAGTTATCTGTTAAATAGATTATCGTCAGTTGGTCCCCACGCAATACTTGACCAAGTATCGCGTGAAGAAAGATGGACAGATGAATTATCACTATTAAATTCCGGATGCTACTACACCCTTTCATTGCATACAAGTCGAACCTAACCACCTCCATACAGATGCAACTGTTACGTACACATACTTCCAACGCTAATAGCAGATATAATACCCTATTTAGAGAATATTTTGCAACAAATTTACGAATATTACTTTTTAGGAGTGTTTTAGTAAAGTTATCTATATATCCTTCATATTATTTAATGGTTTCACTTTCAATGACATTTCCTTTAGAAATTCTGTGGTCAAAAATTGCACTTATATAACCAGGGTTATTGGGTAAGTCGACCTAAATACTTTAAATGGGTTATAGTTGTCATAATTTCTGACAGATTTCGCTCTTAAAAACTATATCCTAAAAATAACCATTTTCAAGATATTGGACTTTTATGATTTTTTTGCCTAATACATTTTTTTAGAACTTATAGCCTTTATTTTTTTCTGTTTTTGTGAAGTTGATAAATTGTTTTTTAATATATTTCACTTATATTATTATATAAATTATTATATTCAATTGCTAAAATAGTATATAGATAAATTTCAATTGCTAAAATAGTAGTTAACTTAACAAACTGCACTCAGAGGTATCTGGTCTAAATAGGAAAAATAAATAAATTTATAAAAAATATTTATTCTTTTACAAATATTATAACAAAATATATATGAAAGTTAAACCGGAGATTTGTTAAAAAACATGTTCGTATTCTGAGCTACCTAATAAGGTACAAAAGTTTAGGATAGTCTCAGAATTCATAAAAAAAACTTAGATGAAAGACCGGGGTGTTAAGAATTATCTTACGAGTACAACCCGGTAGTATCTAGTTGAAAACTTGGCTTGTATTTTTGGATTGTTTCGTTTTCTATTCGTGACTAAGTATTGCTAAGTGGACTTTGATTTGTGCTTCTGATACCGTTGAAGATAATGACCTATACGAATGATATATATGTTCATATCTTGATTGGGCTAATGTATCAATGCATAGCAAGACACCCGGGATGGTTGTTGAGTGGCGGATGTTAATGTGTTGGACGGAAACTATCAACAAATTAGAGTGACCGGCTCTGTTTCAAGGCGACCATCTGATCTGGGTAGATCTGGGTGAAAAATCCCTTCAGATCTCCTGATCCCCAAGGACGCAAGAGATACTCCTGTATGGAACTAATCCCTCCCATACTCCTGCATGTGGTGTTTCTAGTAAAAGCCACCCCGACAGCATGTCTCAGGCACCCTGCTCTGGGGAGAACCCGGACAGTGTTATTTCAGATCCCCCAAAATTCGATGCTGTGTTTAGCCAGGCCCTATTCCTACACACCCTACGCCTAGAACCGTTGACGATCTCTTTCTGGAGCATGTAAAAGTTTAAAATAAATTCTCTGTTTATTTTCATTTATTTCATCTTTTATATGCAGATAAAATTTTAAAATCATTCCCGAAAATATTTTGTCAAAACAAAGTGAAAATATTTACAAGCCGTATAAATCTCGTGAAGAGCATTCGGCTCTGATTTTTTTAGAAATTTGTGCTAAATTTATTTTACATTTGATACAATTTCGATGTTCTGCATTTACGATGCTTTCAATGAGATGAAATATTGAGTTAGCATAGTTTTCATATTACTAGTTTTAGGATATTAATGTATTAATAACACAAGGCAAATAAAAATTGATTTGTCTGATTGAGGAGTGCATATGGATAAGTATTATCAGATACCTGGATTCTGGATTTATTTGGAATGATATTAGCTGGATTGATGGATCTCATATATACATACGATGTACAGACTTTTAAGTATAATAGGGCATGAACAACCTATGCTCATGGTTTCCCTGTTTCAAGGAGAACAAGTTCTTGTATGTCAGATGGCAATCGGTACAATAGCAATAAACCCAAACTCGCCAATAATAATGAATGAAAAATGGCAAGGTTACAATACTCAACGAGAATAACAGAAATGATTCGCAGACACATCGCCCTAGCTCTGCAAATAATATGCTAGGGCTACTGAGTCAAGGACGAACTCACTTAAAGACATTATTGCCTAAAAGTAACCTAAAATTCCGCTTCACCTTTAAATGTAGGATCTTTAACTGGAAAGACGAAGGGACTTGCATGTCATTTCAAGCGTAGAAGGTGGACATTGTATGTCTACAGGAGACAAGATGGATTGGGGTCAACACCCGCGATATAGGTGAGAGATACAAATTAATGTACAATGGATCAAGAGGTGTCAGAAATGGTGTGGGAATCGTTGGGAGTCAAGAGCATCTTAATAACATCTTAAATATAAATCGCATAAGTGACAGACTCATCACGCTCAAGGTTATGATAAAAGGGGAGACTGTAAATGTTCTATCTGCTTACGCTCCTCAGGTAAATTGTAGCTAAGATGAGAAAGATGACTTTTGGTTAGCTATCGAACAATCATTACAAGTAATACCCACAAAATAAAATAATTTTAGTAGGAGGTAATCTAAACATCACATAGGCCGAAAAAAATCAACCATTTGGTTGGGTTCATGGTTGGCATGGCTACAGCTCACTCAATGACCCCGGAAAAACGATACTCACGACTGCGGCCGATCTGGCCATTATAAATTCATTCTTTACAAAAAAGTCTGATCATCTTATCACATACAAAAGCGGGAATACCATGTCACAAATTGACTATATTCTATTGGGTCGAGCATTTATCGGACGTGTTAAAAATTGTAAAGCTATACCTATATGACATACCAGAAAAAGTCCAAAGAGAAAATTGTCCGAGCCCCAGAACTCACAAAATGATAGAATTTGAAGGGTGAAAAAGCTGGAGAGTTCAAAAGGACAAAAGAAAATTTAAAAGATTGCAAAACAACGCTGCCAAGGCACTAAAGATCCAACTCAATGTAAAAATATCGAGAACGCGATCTCGAAGAGAACTTCAATAAAGACATTGCAGCAAGTTGGCAAGAGTACCAGATGATGATCAACCTATCAGCATAAATGGTCAAATAATTACCAAATAAATTACCAAAGGAGTATAAATACCTGGGTAACATCTTCATAGTTCATGAGACTTAGAGTAAAATAAAAGCAACACCGTATAGTAGCTACGTGGCTCAAAGGGCGGCAGGTAACGGGTGTAACTTGTACATGCCTTTCATGTTGCGTAGATGAAAATGTTAAGATGGATGTGCGGCGTAACCAGGACGGATAAGATCCGGAAGTAATACATACGAGGAAGCCTGGGAGTCCGCACGAACGAATACGCACGAATAGTCAGGAAGAGAGAGAGAGGCAAGGCAAATAAAAATACAAAAGGCTTTTCGAAGACTATTTTGACCAGAAATTTTATTTATGCGTTGACATTATATTGATTTATTTTATCTATTAGACGTCGAACCTTAGTCGAGTTTATATTTTTAAAATTTAATCAATATCGAAGTTCTGATCAAATCGCAAGCATTGGTGCATTCGCACTTCACGGAGGCCCGTGAGGTGTTATGATATGGCAAATATGACGATGATTTGTGATAATGTTTATGAAAACAGTTGCCATTGTGACGTCATAGTAAGTACACATATGCCATGAGTGTATACTGTGTCACAAAAGCAATTTAGTATCTATTGGAACACGCACATATCACGCTCAGCTTGTTCAAAAGCGCTGACGAGTCCACACCCGACGTTTGAGTTATGCTTGTTATGTGAAATTGGCGAAAAGTTAACATGTATGAGAAAATCGAATAATAT